ATGTCAATTAGAAAAACATATTCGTACTTCCTTTCCTCATAGTTTCACACGTGGTGTTTCGTCCCTTTTTGTCGTGGTTCACTCTGACATTTGGGGACCTAGTCGCGTTAAGTTTACTTTAGGTTTTCAATACTTTGTTACTTTCATTGATGATTATTCCAGATGCACTTGGTTATTTTTTATGAAAAATCATTCTGAATTATTTCATATCTTTCAAACTTTTTTTAATGAAATTCAAACTCAGTTTGGTGTTTCTATTAGAGTTTTGCGTAGTGATAATGGCCGTGAATATCTTTCTCATTCTTTTAAACAATTCATGGCTTCTCACGGTATTTTACATCAAACTTCTTGTGCTTATACACCTCAACAAAATGGTGTAGCTGAACGTAAAAATAGACATTTTATTGAAACAACTCACACACTTTTAATTCATGGAGATGTTCCTCAACATTTTTGGGGTGATGCTCTTCTTACTGCATGTTATCTCATTAATCGCATGTCTTCTTCGGTTTTAGATAATAAAATACCTCATTCCATTTTATTCCCTCATGAACCACTTCATCCTTTACCTCTGAGAGTTTTCGGGTTTACATGTTTTGTTCATAATTTCAGTTCTGGTCTTGACAAACTTTCTCCTAGATCACATAAATGTGTTTTCTTAGGATTTACAAGATCATAAAAAGGATACAAATGTTTTTCTCCTTCTGTTAACTGTTATTTTGTGTCAAAAGATGTCACCTTTGATGAGTTGTCTCTTTATTTTAAAAGTCAATCTTCACCTCTGTCTCCATCCAATCTTGTCAACACTCCTAATACATTTAATGTTCCTGTTGTTTGTGACCCTCTAACTGTGTCTTCTTCACCATTAGTTCCTGCTCCGCAGTCAGCTTCTTTTCCACTGCCTCTTTAGATTTATAGTTCTCGAAACCAATCACAACCACCACCATATGACTCTACTCAAGTGCCAACTACTCTGTCTCCTCCGGATCTGACACATGAGTCTGACCTTCCCATTGCCCTCCGAAAAGGTATTTGTTCTACACGTAATCCCTCTTCCCATTATATTGCTTTGAGTTATCATCGACTGTCATTACCTTTTTATACATGTCTTTCCTCTATTTCTTCTGTGACCATTCCAAAAACTGTCCGTGAAGCTTTAACCCATCCTGGTTGGCGTCAGGCCATGTTAGATGAACTAAGTGCTCTTCATAATAGTGGAACTTGGGAATTGGTCCCGTTACCGTTTGGGAAATCTGTTGTTGGTTGCAGGTGGGTGTTTGCTATCAAAGTTGGACCTGATGATATTATTGATCAGTTCGTCTTGTGGCCAAAGGTTATACTCAAATTTTTGGGTTGGATTATGGAGATACATTTTCCCCTGTGGCAAATATGGCTTCTGTTCGTTTATTTATCACCATGACTGCTCTTCAACAATGGTATCTTTATCAACTGGATGTTAAAAATGTTTTCCTCAATGGTGATTTGCAAGAAGAAATATATATGGAGCAACCTCCTGGATTTGTTGCTCAGGGGGAGTCTTTTGGGATGGTATGTCGTCTTCAAAAATCCTTATATGGCCTAAAACAATCTCCTAGGGCTTGGTTTGGAAAGTTTAGCAAGGTTGTTCAACAATTTGGCATGACTCGGTGTGAAGCAGATCATTCTATCTTTTATCGACACTTGAGTGCTGGATGTGTTTACTTGATAGTATATGTTGATGACATCGTTCTTACAAGTAGTGACAACCATGACATCTCTCAGTTGAAACAACATCTCTGTCACCATTTTCAGACCAAAGATCTTGGCAAACTTAAATATTTCTTGGGTATTGAGGTGGCACAGTCTAATGATGATATTGTTATATCTCAGAGGAAGTATGCCATAGATATTTTGGAGGAAATTGGGTTGATGAGTTCAAAGTCTGTTGATACACCCATGGATCCCAATACTAAACTTCTATCAAATCTGGGGGAGCCTATATCTGATCCTGACCAGTATAGAAGATTGGTTGGAAAATTGAATTATCTTACAGTTACTCGTTCTGACATTTTCTTTGCAGTCAGTGTGGTAATTCAATTTCTTAATTCACCATGTGAAGATCATTGGAATGCAATCATTCGTATCTTGAAGTATATTAAAGGATCTCCTAGAAAAGGGTTGTTATATAGTTCTAATAACCATACAAGAGTTGTTTTCTACTCAGATGCTGATTGGGCAGGATCTCCTTCGGATAGAAGATCTACATCTGGATATTGTGTCTCCATTGGTGGTAACTTGATCTCATGAAAAAGTAATAAACAAAGTGTTGTGATAAAATCCAGTGCAGAAGCAGAATATAGAGTTATGGCCTCAGCTGCCTGTGAACTTGTTTGGCTCAAGCAATTGCTTAGAGAGTTACAATTTGGAGATGTCACTCAAATGACACTTGTGTATGACAATCAGGCTGCTCTTCATATTAGTTCTAATCCTGTCTTTCATGAGAGAACCAAACACATTGAGATTGACTGTCATTTCATTCGAGAAAAGATTATGTCTGGAGATATCAAGACTAAGTTTGTTAACTCAAGTGATCAGTTAGCAGATATTTTCACTAAGTCTTTACGGGGGCATAGAATTGATTATATTTGTAACAAGCTTGACACATACGATTTATATGCTCTAACTTGAGGGGGAGTGTTAGATATTGTTTAGATATAGTTTGATATTGTTAAGATATTGTTAGATATTGTTAACCACAATATCTTCTATTTATTATGTTTACTTTCGATTACTCTTTTAGTTGTATCTCTCTATTATAAATAGATTACCCTATGTGTGATTTATACACAAGGGAGATTAATTTCAAAACCCTATTTCCTCTATATTCAACATGGTATTAGAAGACTGTTGATCCTTATACCATTCGAGAAATTTGTTGAATATAGCAGACATGTCGGATGCAACAGAAGAAGGAGGATCTCCAGCAGATAAAGGTGGGAAAAGATTGGTCTGAACAACTGCAGCAGATTGAGGAGGACGATCATGTAATGTATAATACTTGTTAATCTTGTGACCTAGCTTGCCACAATGTTCACACTTAGGATGCCATTTTCCCTGTTTGCGAGGGCAAGTCTGGTCATCACGATGGGATGTCAACACAAAAGAATCGTTAACAAAATTGGAAATAGTAGAAGAAGTGGAAGAAGTCATGAAGAGCGGGAGAATAAACCCTAAAACAATCCAAAGTAGTCCAATTAACCCACGAAGCACAAATCCAAAATGAGAATACTAAAAATAAGTTCGCCAAGACTAAACGGCGCAAGAGACAACGGGACGACCAACCCCGATAGTGGTGATCTCAACGGCACGGTGGTTATCTGACCGAGACAAGCAAAATCATATGTCACCGGTAAAAAAAAATGAAACTCCGGCGAATTCTCCGACAGCGGCGGATCCGGTGACTGCTCCAGCGGCAGCGGTGACAATAACGTGAACCAGTACACCAGGTAAGTTCCCAGGAAAGAGAGGTGAGTCACTAATGGACACACTTAAATACCAAGTCTTTTCTTGCCAGAACTTTCCTAAACATGCACTTTCACACTACCAAATAAAATTCAGTAACAAAGATAATTCTTTTCTGATATGGAGGATCAGTTTACCAGCAGCGGTGGGGCGGCTCCAGCAGTGGACAAAAGGCGGAAAAAAATTCAAGATAACCTTAAGCTCTGATACCATGTTAAGGTTCCAACATAAAATCAATTGGCAATATGTAGAGTAACCTAACATGTATTTAAATCATACCAAATGACATGAGGTAGGCGATGTGGGACTTTCAACACGTCCCCTCCAACGAAGCCAGCCGGACTAGGCAAAGGGTACTTTTGACCCAACTAAAGGACAACTTTTGGCCCATGACAATAACCGGAAAGATGTTAGATTTTGGCTCTGATACCATATTGAATATAGAGGAAATAGGGTTTTGAAATTAATCTCTCTTGTGTATAAATCACACATAGGATAATATATTTATAATAGAGAGGTACAACTAAAAGAGTAACCGAAAGTAAACAGAATAATCAGAAGATATTGTTTGATATTATGATTAACAATATCTTAACAATATCAAACTATATCTAAATAATATCTAAACAATTTCTGACACAGATAAAGAAGTATTCCTTAACCCTAAAAAGTTTTGTTTTAATCCAACTGAATCTTCAAGAACAGAATCATAACGTGACAGATTCCTGATTCTAGGAGGCAACAAATAATTGGTCCATCTGTACTATATAATAAAGAATATAGACTCTTGATACAAGTTAGTTAAAAATTCATTTTCAGATGAACTTCAAATGACTACATGAATAATATTATATTTAAAGATATTACATCTGTTAATTAATTGGTCTTTTTCAGTTTGAAAAACAAAGTACTAAATTATACTTAATGTATAAATATTATTCAATATATAAATTATATTTTAGATTCATGATAAAATATTTGGCGATTCAAGGTTATTTTAATTATTAATTTATTTTAAAATAAAGATAAAAAGTATAAATTGAAAGAAATAAGAAATTAAAGAAAAACTTTCAATAACAGTGTCAAACAATGTTATATTATTATTAAATCACAAACCATTAATTCTACATTTTCTTAAACATTAAAATTCTTAAATCACATTAAAAAAATTTGCAAATATTATATTAAGAAATTTCAAAATTCAATTTACAACCACACACCTTGCATTTGTGATCCCGGTGATAAGTAACCATTACAAGACATGTTTTGATGAAGACAATCAAGATTAGATGAAAATAATATTTATCTTTAAAATCATCCAACAATGACCTTCTGGAAGAAAGAATGGTATATTTTTATAAAATGAAATAGTTACTTTTAAGGTGTAAATATCCAAGTAAATCATTTACCATGATCCAAGAAACAGTTCAACAATTTTTGTAACAAAATTCTTGGTCTATATTCTTCCGTTACAGTCATGCTAATTAGATCCTAGACCATCACCTAGAAATATGACATAAGATAGGTCCCACTGCAGCTTTGAAGTCATCGTAAAACCTCTGCTCAGAAAATCTCCTTGCCCTTCTTCTTGCAGCTGCAGCCATCAAAAGTCTTTCTTTCTCTGTCATTGTTACGATTCGTACTATGGCGTCTGCATATTCTTCAACAGTACAAGCGAGAAAGCCTGTTTGCTGTCCATCTTCATCCAACACAATGTCCATTTTTGGGCCAGCAGAATTATGAGCTGACAAGCAAACATTGGAAGAATACTAAATGCATGCAAGAGACGTCAATATAGACAAAAAAAAAAGGGCCTATTTATCAAAAGGTGAAATTGGACATGAAACCTACCAATTGGGATAGCACCGGCAGCCATGTATTCTACAACACTAATGCCAAAATGCTCATCTGTCATTGAATGAATGCCAGCAACAGCACCGCCTAAAAGTTCCACCAAATCTCTGTAAGTTAAGGCAAGCATTAGCAGGACAACATTTAATGTTTAGGTTCTGAAATTAAAAATATATATCTAAACAATTTATTAAAAATTGCGAAAATAAATTCATATAACTTTTTAGTCAGAGTTGTTGCTCATTTATCGAGAATTCTTAGGTAAATTCAAAACCCAATCAACTATCAGTGCAATTGACTCTTTTTCCTATTAGGTCAGGAGTTCTTCAAGCTACATACTGTGCATCTCAACCCAGTTCAAAGGCTCACCAACACCATGTATAAAGGATTATTTCCAAATAGCTTATTTCTAGAAAAACAACTGAAATTTATTACAAGGAAAGTCCTTGCAGCCCTATGAACTTCGCTGATCTCCCTGATTGAAAGAATTAGGAGTCATATCCAACCATAAAGAGTACAAGAAAAGTACCAATAGATGAATGAACAATATAACAAGTAAGGCTTCAGATAATCACTAATAAATATCCCAAACAACGTATTCTGTGCTTCACTTGACAGATCATATCAGATCAATTGATATGAAGACGTGATATCAGACTAATTGATATTAATAAGCTAACTTAAATTCCTACAAATTCTAAAATCCAAATAAATATATAGTTTACATTTTGCAACAGAAGGGAATAGGCTTACCCTTTGCAAGTAAGAGCATGCTAGTTCAACAAAAAAAATGACAAGTCTATCTCCTTTTAGAGTAATAAATACCTCCAAAAGTGTTATACAGACTTATCCATCCTACCTCAAAAATATTGATCACATGCTCAGTCCTCTCCAACATAACTAGCGACAAAATAATAGCCATATAAGAGAAATACACTCATACACATTAAAATGCCAATAGTAATGCAAAAGTAATGCTGGTTTTTACACAGCTAATTGTAGATGAACAAATATGATAATCAGGTTAAAGACAATATTATTTCAAAGAAAACTAAAGTTGAAAAAGACAAGAACAAGTGTTCTTAAATATTTCTTCCATTTCTTCTTTAGGAGATTTCTCTTACAATTCTGACATATCTTGTCATGGATCAAGTGATTGATCTTCTATTTCCTTTGTTTGAGTGTAATCTCTCTACTTTCATAGTGTTTGGCCCAACTTTTCAAGGATTTTTCTCTTAAAAGAGAGAAATTGGGCCAAAACGCGATTCTAAAAAGAGCACTATAGAAAAGGAAAGTTTTACAGAGCTTCTAGAGATGCTAATTACAGAATCTTTTTACTTCAAAAAAGAAAGGGTTACATAAAAAAAGCGATGTCAGACACAACTTTAACACTTCCTATAGCTTGAAAACTCATGGATTGCTTTAATGTTCAAGTAGGAATAGGGAAATTATGGCATGTCCTTAGTCTGTATGATAAATATCATAACCTTGTATAATTCAAGAAATAGTAGTATCTAGTTCCTTATTCTATTTAGGATATTTTCTTGACGGATTTAAAATAATGGATTAGTTCTTCATAAAACGTTACAAGAGGATCAAGGCACATAGGTATTGACTATTAACTGATTTCGGAAACTTTAAATATCATACTTGAAATATTTAGTAAAGGTGAAAGTTATTCATCAAAGGAATCAACGGCAATCAAGACCCCAGTTCTTTCCCCTGGAATTTCTAGAGATTCTTCAGTGAAACATTTTCTTTTGTTCTGTTTTTAGTTTAATCCACTTTCAATTTCGTTAAATCTTTTGTCAATAGTTGTTTAGAGCTAATTCCAATTTTATAGTCTAAATTAATATAGTATTCAGCCATTTCTTTACAGCTTACTATTGCATTTGAAGTTTCATTGATGTTTGCACTCAATTCCAACTAGACTGATAACTGCTATACCCCATTAACTAAAGAATAAAAGGTATGACAAGCATTCTAGAGAATATAACTTTTTTAAATATTTTATTCTGCAGAGAATTGTTTCTTATCATTAGAAGGAGTGGACAAAGATTGAAAATCCACTAGGACTAACCTGTATGTTACATTCTTGTGAAATTCCACATGTTCGTTAATATTCAGCTCAATAGCTCTCTTCTTCAACATTTGAAGTCTGTCTTCATCTGACTTGTTTCTACAACTACCCACAATTTGGAACTTAGGTTTTGGCAGGGTAGGATCCAATCTCTTAATGGCAGCTGAAAAAGCCTCAAGTTGGAGAGTGTGAGCCTACATTTGAATGAAACAATGTCAAATTGGTTTAATCAACAAAGGCTCAAATGAGCCACATAAAAAAGGTTGTACCTTGTTCACAAGATTGATAGGAATATGCCCACCTTCTCCGGGCGAAATTGTGCAACAGATATTATTACAGGAATGTCTGCTGATCGTCCCAAGGGAAGTACCTGTCCATATTGCTTACCTGTTAGAATTCATTGGTATTACCAAACTATGGAAAATAAATCACATACACATGTAGCATCATCCTCACATTAAGTGGTGACATTAAATTCAAGTTTTAAACATTTGGTAGACATACATACTAAATCGGGAGTAACCATAGAAGAAAAGACCATAGGTGCCTTCAATGCCACTAAGTAGCATGCAATACATGAAAGCTATCCACCCAACCAAAAGAAACATGGAAAAGATGAAATAGACAATATAACATTTGTAGGACTATAAATAACAAATTACTTGGAGTCCTGAAGTATCACAAGGAGGATAGACTCGCTTAATCCGATCTGGTACTCTCCAAAGATTTTCAATATGGGATTTGGTCCAAGATGAATTAACCATAGCTAGGTGCGCACATGATCCTACAATCCCATACAAGCAACTGAATATTGCATAATAGACTATTTTGCACCTTGAAAGCCAAACACTGCAAGAAAATAGCTGTTAGATCCCTTAACAAATGAAAGAAGGCAAAATAGAGTGTGAATTTAGAACATATTTATAGCATAGAAGTGTGTAGGTGCATTGGAGGGTAAGGGAAGTATGCAAAAGGAGAATTTCCACATACAAAGACTTCATATTTACCAATTTCTATACCAAAATACTTTTAAAGAAATTAATTCCTTTATACCCTTGCCTCGAAAACCATTAGGATAAGTTGTAATATTCAAATTTAAGAAATATGGAAATGAAAGAACTTGTAATATTCAAATTTAAGAAATATGGAAATGAAAGAACTAATACCATTATTAGCAGGTGAGGAAATCCTGCAAAATATGACTAAACCAGAAGAGGCAAACAAAAAATATACAAATCCAATGGTTAGAAGAAATCAAACCTTTTTGTAATTAGGGCATCATTATTATACATCAAGCTGCGATGACGAACACGAGCTAGCATGTCTGAACTGATAGTAGGATAATGTGTATAGCAAATAACTTTGCATCCAAACAACCGGGCAAGTGGATATGTAAAAGCATATCCACTTGTGTCAAAGTAAAATAAAGGTGTAAACTTGCACAAAGCCTCCCATACAAGATACATAGAACCCAGACTTTGACCAATCATTGTAAAGTGCGGATAAGTGGTTTCTTCAATCCACCTTCTCTTGTACAAATGAACCACCTGAGAATCACGATAAAAAGATCCACAGGTTTAAGCTTTTAAACAAATGAAGTATATTCTTGCACAATAGGTGCCATAATAATGCGACTTACCATGACAACAACATTTGCTTACTTTATATAAGCAAATAATCATAACATTATCTTATTCCATGGCTAAATATCATCCATCATCCCCTCCTTCCTATCATCTACTCAACCTGCTAAGCAAGCAATGCCATTTTTACTGCTTTTCTCTGGCTCACTTCCCCTAAAAGTGGAGAATACACTTAAAGAAGAGCCAAAGGTCCAGGATCAGTTTATTGAAACTTACGAATGTAAATAAAGAGTATTGGTTTTCTTTGCTTTGGAATTTCGTTATTTGTATCATCAGAATACTCCAACAAGAAGCCAAGCAATCAGAAATCACCTTTTTCTTTTTTCCTGATTAATTAGGCCGATATGTGTAACTTTGAAAGTTTAAATAGATGAATCTTAGAATCTATATCATTTATGAGTTTTATATACTAGCAAAACAAGAGTAACTTGATTAAGCAACGTGAGCTTCCAGTCAATTCTAGAATCACCTCGGTCTATAAACAGTGAGTCCATGTAATTTCAACATAGGTTAGTTCATTCATATAATTCCATCCACCACTGTACTAAAACAGAACACCTCTTTGAGTCGTCTTTTAAGAGTAGAATTCAGATCACTTGATATTTCTAATCTGCGGTGGACTCCCCCAAACAAACCCTCTATCCACAAGCTTACAAAATCTATTCCAATTTTTTCCATTTCCATCTAAACCCCAAATCACTTCAGAATTCTTAGCTGCAGTCCTGACACCAGGGAAAGTGCTGTTCTTTGATCCATCCAACAGAATGGATTAACTCATCAATGCTGTCATCACCTTGAGCCTGTCAACTCAACGCTTCACCGGAGCTTATAAAAGGACAATAAGATCCTTTAAACCTAATTCAGTCTTACTTTAACAGAAAACAAAACCCACAGCCCATTAATTCATGATAATATGAATGCACTAATAAGTGAACCAACCAAGGGCTAATTAGCCGCTAAATTAACACCCAAGGCTGACTAATATTATAACATACACTAAATATGCCAATGAAGCTAGAAAAATAATCTACCATATTCCATTCTCACATTGTTACTACAATTGAAAAACCTACTTCCAATTAGACAAAGACCCAATGAAAATGAAAGATGAACAAAACCCACAATCCAAACACAGAAAAGAAGAAGAACCAGATAAGCTAAGAAAAGAAGGTACCTTGGGAGGAGAAAGGAGCGTGACTCCAAAGCGATCGAGGGCTCGAAACATCAGCGATTGAGGGGTCGCGTCATGATCTCCGGTGTAGACATAGCAGTCAAGGTCAGGGCTCTCCTCTTGGATGCCTTTGACGGCGCACCACAGCACCCTCTCCCCGCCACCGCCGTCGTTGGTGTACGGATGGAAGAACCCGACGGCTGTCTTCCTCCGCCATCTGCCGTTGATTGGAGCAATGCAGAATCCGACAACTATGACAGTGATGAGCGCAACGATGATCATCGTCAACATCAAATCGCGGAGTTGCAGTAGCAGATGTTCAAATATTCAACATCGTTCAACAAATTGGACCCAACGAGGAAGTCAATTATCTTGGTTCCACCACATATACATACCAATTACCAAAATATAAAATTAAAAAAAAAATATTTAGCTATATTATATAGAAGGTCCTTTAAATTTTACCATTTAATCCTTTTATTTTTCAATAATTTCAATTTAATCCTTTATTTTTTAAAATTATTAAGAAATATTTATCTTATTATTAATATTATTTACATATACGATGGAGGTTAAAACGAGACGCATAAGGCCATACGAATAAACAATTTGTTATCGTTTTAGTTTTATTAGGCATGGCAACGGGCCGAACGGGTTTAAATAGTATATGGTAATTTCGAAATGTTGGGGTTTCGTTAAATAGTACATTACGTAGGCGCTGATTGCAAAATAATGAATCATTAGTGTAAAATACTCTGGATTATAAACGATAAATATTCATTTTATAAAACCAATCTTTATAGTAAATAAATTTTTAATATGTAACTTATATTTACATTTATAGTAAATAATTTGTATTGCAATATCTTGTTCTTTTTAATAGTTGATAGTTTAGAAAACAATAAGTTAACATTAAATATATTGGAAATAATAAATCAAAAAAGATAAATAGTTTTCTTAAAAGAAAAAGATACAAAATTAAGTTAATTCTTTTAATTAATATTAAAAACATAAGAAATATACGAGATTAGATCCTATTTATATTTCCAAAGATTATATATATATATATATATATATATATATATATATATATATATATATATATATTGAAATTAGTGTATAATATTCATAGCTAATTAAACCTTTTAATTAATGTTATAAATACAAGAGAATATACCATGTAGATATTAAAAGCATATTTGAATTTTGAAGATACTGATATATATATATATATATATATATATATATATATATATATATATATATTAAAATTAATTTATGTACAACTTATTAAATTGTTTAGTTAATGATAAAATCAAGAGGATTTACCATGTACGTGGAGTCTGAAGAATATAAATAAAAATGAATATAAGAGTGTGGAAAGAGTTGAACAATTTCAGAAAACATATCATGTTACATGTTTATATACCGAGGCTGTTGGAGGAAAAAAAATGAAGCAACCAGAAAGTGGATTTGGAAGCTCATAATTTTGAAGTGAGGGTGAAAGTATGGTTTAAAAGGGTTCATCCAAACACAGCCATTATTTTTACACACAGTTATAAGCACACAGTGTTGTCATAAGGAAATCCTAAACACCACTTGCTAGTAACTTTTGCACAATTGTTAAGGACATGCATGTTGAATATGCACAATTCTCAACTTCAGTTTTGTAAAAAGTTATAAGCTTTACGGAAAATTTTCTAGAAAAACTAGTTTTTCTGAGCAGTGAAATCTGGCTCAGAAGGCTTCTGAGGCATCAGGGGTAGCAATCTCTGTGGCTGTGGCACTCTGGTGCGTTTACCACTTCGCAAATGGCGCAATGCACTTGATGCAAACCTTGATGCATATACAGTGGCAACAAAGCTAGGTGAAGACCCTTCCTCGTTTTCCAAATTTTGTATCCTTTCTTCTGCTTCACGTAACTTCCTCTCTGCCTTCTTTTTTCTGTATCTACGCCATGCTGCTTGTATGAAACATGCACCCCATGTCTTCCATTGCACGGAGTAGAACCTGAACCAAAAACAAATGTAAGAATAATATTCCTAAGTTCTGTGTAATAATCTTTGTGTTTATGAAATATAAAGAGTAAACAGTTTATGTACTTACGTCACCAAAAAATGTAACATTGTCATCTAATTACACGTCGATGTGAACGATATGTTGCTGACTTTTATAATGATAATAATTTTCTTGAAAGTTAGATCAACATAGATTTCAGATTGTTTCACTTATCTGTTAATCAAAAATCATCTTTGGCATGACTTTCGGTATAATTGTTATCAGAATTAACAAATTTTGTTAGGTTATGGTTGCATTGTAGTAGATACTTTTAAATTACTAGTAGTGCATGCATTATCTATTCATATAATTTTTTGTGTAATGCTTTCAAAGTACTAGGAGAATTAACATAAGAATATGGCATTACTTAAATATAATGATGATGCATTGTCAAAGAGGAAAATGGTTTAACAGAGGTGAATCCTTGCCTGAAAGTGTGTTGGAGTTGTTTGCTGTTTATAAGACGTCGAAATTGGGAAGCAACGCATTTCAAGTCATCATGCATGAGAGCAAAGGCTTCAACTTCTGATATAGTTTCCACAGTTCTAGTTGAAATGGGTAGATTTGAGGAGGAGTTGGGGTCCAAGGCCCATGTTAGAAGCTCTTCTCCACAGAAATCACCAGCCTTGATCTCAAAGGAGTTGAAGAAACCAGTTCTTCCACCATTTGTTGTGGCAGTTGCAAGTGTTCCACGCATGATGAAGAGCATCTCATCAACTGGATCCCCTTCACGAACTATGTGACTTTTCTCTGTGTACAGGACTGGCTTTAGTTTATCACACAGTGCATCCAACAACTGATTATCCATGTTCTCAAACATTGGCACCTAGACCAAATAAGAAGGTAGCATGCTCATCAATTGCTCATTTAAGGATGAATAGGTAGGGGGAAAAGAAAAGAAAATAAAAGAAAAACTTAGATCAGTTGCTTTCAGAGAAAATTTGCATAATAAGAACGTGCATTGAGAGTAGTGTAAGTTATTGATCTGAAACTCCAATTCTGATCGAAGATATAAACAAAAAGTATTTAAGGAATTCTGATTCTCATTGAAAAGTAACACCAACAACATCTAAGAAACTGTTCATGTGTTTTGTCCAAAAGAAATAACAAAGTGAATGGAGAGATGGTTCTGGATGACACTCACTTTTTTAAGTAGTTCTAAGCAAAGATGGCGCTTTATGTCCCTTCTGAGATCTTTAGGGAGGTTGCGAATTAATGTCTCCTCCTCAACACCCCTATTTTCTTGCCATTTGTATTGTTCATACCGTCTAATTCTCTGCTTCAGGAAATCGGGTAGCATACGGTGGGACATCCACAGTTCTGCATCCCTCCTTTTGATTCTCATCTCTTCAACTCTGACAGTGGTAGATTGTAGATATTTCTGCAACCATAATCAACACGAGTACACAATCCATGAATTCAACAAATGAGAAGGGTGGGAGGGTGAAGCTAACTCTTCTATAAAACTCAAAATTGATGAAAATTTGGTCTCTCATTTAAGGTTTAAAATCTGTCCTTTGTCTGTTTGGTTTTACTCCATCACAAAAACCGTTGACTTAATTAAAAAAAAAAAAAAACACGAATGCAAACAAGATCACTGTATTGTCTATGATCTCATCTCATATTCCTGGCCAAGAATTACCTGCATGTTTCCAATAAGTGATGCAAATAGAACCAATCCGAAGACAGCAATGAAGATAGCAAAGATTATCTCCCCAACATAAGTACTTGTCTGGAGACCTTGACCAACAGAACTGCGAAAAAAGACAAAAAAAAATGACTTTTTGCATGCTTTTAGTCTCCATCTTTCAGGTTGTATTATGCTTTCCTTGACAAGATGTTACAAGCACTAAGTACGTGTTTGGTTTAGGTGTTGGAGTCTTGGATCCATGTTTCATATGTGAAAATAAAAGCTACTCAAAGTAACTTCAAATTGGATGTGAATGATGAATTTATGTTAAACTTGGTTCGACGTTAAACCAAACATGTACTAACTAACTAATAGTAAGTCCATATAAATGTTGGAAACAAAATTAAGAACACAGATAAAATTAAGGTCCTAAGTTTATAAAATGTGAATGTTGCATATGCAGTCAAGATTATAGGTAGAGAAGATCATTGACCAACCTTACACTGCGCAAACCCCACCAAAAGCAGTAGAAGAACTTGTGATGAAAATCAGTGGTTGATTCTACCACCCGAGACTTTAGAGCTTCCACGAACATTCCAAAATTGAAAGCTTCCAGGTCTACAATGTCTTGTGGATCAGTGATAGGGCAAGAATGATTGAGAAGTGATTGAACAATAGACTGTCCAGGTCCACAGCTAAGGAAGGATTCATGAAAGAATGTAGTATTCTTCAACTGCCTGCGCCAGCACCTCACCCTTGATTCTACTGAAAACAGATACCAGAAAGCTCCAACCACCTGGTATATGCCACATGTAGTTGATGCTTATGAAAACCAGGAACATAGGCAACTTGTTATGAATGCAAGTGACAAATCAACTCACATGACTTGCTAGCATGTAGAGAAAAAGATTGTAAGCTGCTCCAGCCCATGCCGTCTCGGTCAATATGCCAGAAGTGCTTGTAACTTCTTTGAATAAAGGGTAGATCCGCAGAAGTCTTGGCACGTACTGGGCTATTATTGTATACTTCAACAAATCCTTTCCCACATAAGGAACCGAGCATGATGGGAATACGATCATAGCTAAAATGACCATCTAAGAACACATTAAAAGTGTTAAAACAACATCAAATTATGTTTTTCTCATCAAACTGAACTTAAAATTGTTGTTGTCGTTGCCTTCATTTTGGATACCAAGGTACTTGTCGTATTAAATTACTAAAAGATATATATATATATATATATATATATATATATATATATATATATATATTTTTTTTTTTTTTTTTTTTTTTGTCACCTAAATAATCATCTTTATAGTGACATTTAAAGTAGTCATCATCGAAGTTAACAAATTATCATTGATGTTGCAGGATGAAATTCTGAGTTGAGAATGAGTGTAGAAGGGGAAATAAATACCTGAGGAAGTGGAATAATTGATAGAATGTCAATGATGAAGTAAGAACTTAAGTATCTCATCACTATGGCTGAAGTGTCATCAACAAGCTCACCCCTTCCAAACACACGAGAGGAAGGTGCAATAAACCCGGTTCGAAACTGAAAGATGATGTGAAGAATGTAGAAAAGATCAAAGAATGTGCGGAGAACACTGGAAGTAATCTTCAGTGTTCCATCCAAATCAAGGCATTTTTTCTTGTCATCGATCACTGGAATGTAAAAGAAAAGTGGGTCCACAGAAATTGCCATCACACTTGTGATTACAAAAATTTTGTTCCACTTCTGAAGTGTTGGCCCCTGTGGATGAAGAACACGGCTCCTGCAAGATAAATTTCTTATTGATTCATCACTGACAGAACTTACGCTTGATTGGACTTTTCTTTTTTGAAATCCGTCACTATTGGAATCATTGTGCTCAATACTCGAAGATGAAAGTGACTTCCAATCCTTGAACCTGAGCAGGAATATAATAAAACAGTTAAGTATCTTGAAGAATCAAGTAGATGTTAGCATAAAAAATTTTGAATTAAAAATCAAAATATCAAATCTCCTAAAAGGACACTACAATGGTTTAGTAGTGAGTACCAAATTAATATAGTAATGATCAAATCCATTACTAGCAGTTAGATGTAGGACTAGGAAATTAGGAATATAGGGTAGTGTTTGTATCAGTGGTGGAGTAATCTACTAATCTTGTTGATATGATCCTTTTCCAATTATTAATTTCTCTGTATAGAGTCAATTTGTCATACATTAGAGAAACATCTTTTAAAGTAGGTAAATGCCACTGTTCCTTCTGTTTTTTTCTGAATGAGGAAAATGGATAACTTTTTATTTTGGTCCAAAAGGAAGATGAATAACCGAGGCAGCATGAACATGCAGAGGCAGAAAATTCTAAAAGTTTGCAAAAAGATTGTTGAAGTTAAAACAGCAAAATGTACCAAAAATAATTAAATAAATGAAATTGCAGAAATACAAAACCAGGCTTTAGCAAACGAACCTCACAAATCTCTGTCCCTTTGCAGTCATGTTTAAGCTACTGCTGCATGCAGTGAGAATATTGATGCTTTATAGGGGGAATAACACTTCACTTGTACCACAGAAGATTCAGGCCTGTACGTTGAAATTAGAAAATTATCTTCTTCAAAAACTTTAAATTTGTGCACATGTAACTGGGAAGATAAACTTTTTATGACTTCATTTGTTTTGGTATCAAGCCCCCATTATTTGAATTCTAGACTCAGAATGCCTTCCCAAGATTCAGTTCTTTCTGCTAAGCTATAAATCATTTTCCCTTTTTTTCAGAAAAGAAAAAAAAAACACTTTCTAGAAGTTACAGATTCAATGTTATAACACTAACAAGAACGACTCAAAATTTTACTTCATGTGAATTTCCACAAAACAAAGTTAACACAACACCAAACCAACCAGAACCAGAGTCAAAAGCATTTGGAGAAACTACACTTAATCACACACACACACACACATATATATATAGAGAGAGAGAGAGAGGAGGGGCTGACTTCAACCATAGGAACCAAGTGGAACAACTAACTAGTGTTAAAATTACAACATACAATGAAATAATGAATAATAGGAAAATTGGATCGATGAACAAGTAACTAGGCTAATATGAACCACATGATGTGAATAACTGCATGTTGAACATAGACATAGCAAAACTTGTTCAATCCAAAAGCACCTAACCTCAAAGTTTTCTCATCTTTGGAAAACTGAGAGGAAGAAACTGTAAGCAAACTCCGAAACTCTCTTCAGAAAATTAAAACAAAATCAAAGAAAGTTTAAAAAACGAAGACTAACCAAACATGGCAGCGTTTTGCTTCTGTCAAAGTTACAGACAGTTGGAAAAGGCTGTGAAGTGGGTGTGTTGTGGTTGAGGAAAGTAAGAGAATAGGCAATAGTAGAAGGTTAAAGTAACATGAAGCTTATTAGCAATGTTAAGGTTGCATGGTAAGTGCAGAGTTTCTTTTCTGTTTCCTTTACTTACCCCAAGAACAAAGCAGGAAGCAGAGTAGCTCAAAACCAAAGAAAGCAAAAAAATGTTGAATAAATAAGCTTTAAGAGAAAGAATTTTGATGGTCACGCACTTACAAGTGTGATAGTGATGGGAAAGAAAAAGGATAGAGTGAAATAAAGCGTGAGCAACACTGCCATGACTGAGGTTGTAAGAAGACTAATAGAGTCAAATACATGCATGCAGATATATACACACACATACCAACCCTACCAAAATCGTATAATTATAATGCCATGCATACCAAGAATCACTCTTATAGCATTAGCAAGGATGTGTATATATATATAAAGGGAAATTAAATAAAATTTTCTATAATTAAAATTTATTTATTCATCAGTTTAAAGTAAAAATTTTAAGAAATTATATGAAAGAATTTTCATATATTAACTTATATATAAATTAATTTTAACTTATACATAGAAACTTTTTCTTTTTTTCAAAAAAACATTTATAGAAAAACTTTATCCAAATTTCTACCCTTAAGATTAGATATTCTTATTAACATAATGTTCTATGATCAAATTTTAAGTCCTGGTTACATGAAGAGAAGGCATATGAGTCACTCCCGAGAATATATTTTATCTTATAAATGATAAAAGAAAAAAAATCGAAGTGAAAAAAAAAGTTTTAGTATTGATTTTTTTTTAAACATGAAATAAATTAATTTATATTGCATTGGCTACAAAATAGGAATGAATAAGTAAAGGATGGCGATGTAGAATGGGTTAACGGTTGATTTAAATTTATGAGCAGTGATTAAAGAAGGTAATAAATTCAATAATTAACATAAGACATCATCATTTTCTAATCAAATCGAAAGTAACAATGACCTTGATCGAGTGATTAAGAAGTGCTGGAAAGTTGCGTGATTAATTGATTTACCTTCAGATTCAGTCATGATCAATGTGTCCTTTAATGCATGGCCCATCATAAAACTGTTCTTAAAAAATCATGTTGAGGCATCAATAATTGTCGCTATATTAAAGCTTGCTGATTAATTGGTTCACATTTTTATTTGGCAAAATATATATATATATATATATATATATATATATATATATATATATATATATATATATATATAAATGAATGGATCAAGTTACGTTCTAATTTTTATTAAATATTATGCCATTTAGAACTAACTGATATTCTATATTTCTGTCACTTCTTTCTGCATATAAAATTTTCAATTAATTTATCGTCATTAAAAAAATTTATTATTTTGAGTTTTCAACATGTTTTAGCAAAACTAGTAGAAAACATTATGACCAACCAAATGTTTTTGTCTTTTCTTTCAATTATTATTTGTACGGTCTAGCATATGTTTTTAAACATTGAACTATAGTATGATTATCATTCCACCACAAAAATATCTTAGTGTTTTGAGTGTCTTAATGGATAAGAATAGAGTAAATAAATTTATTGATGGATTATAGAATGAGACCCCATCTAGGGTTTCTGCTTATAATATTTGATCTTTTCAAACTTTTTTTGACCCTATGACTTGGTTTGATGCAGTTGCAATGGTTGAGGCGTTCATATAACAACATTGAACATGAAAAGGAGAAGACATGAAAAGAAAGAAGGAAAAAGAGGCACAGAAAGAAAGAAAAATCAATAAAGGTAACCATTATGCGCTTCCAACGTGCTTCCCGTGAAATACTTTGATGTTTCTGTAGAAACGATTCAACCATATTATATATAAAAAAAATATTTATCTCATTAGAATAATACTATTAATATCAATTAGCTATTTTTCGTTTTAATGATTTTATTAATATAATTTTATCTTAAAAGACATGTTAAAAACTCTTGTTTTACAACTCAGAAATAGTAATCTTAATTTGTCTAGTCTGCATAAATAATATGATATTACAATGCAATGTTCATCGACTTGATTCTACGAACAAACTATTCTTACGACCTTTCTTACAATATAAGAGAGATAGAAAGTTTAAAAATTTAAGATTAAATCAACAATATGACCAAGAAATGGCGTAGAAATTTATTGTGAGTATAATATTACTCTATTCTGCGAATTAATCATCAGTCTATTTGACTTGATATGAAATAAAAACAAAGGAAGAATTTCAATAGATGAAAAATTGTTGATTCGAAAGAAAGTGGATAAAATTAAAATTTATTCTTTATTTATTTCGTTAAACAAAAATTAGATAATTATATCTAATTATGAGTTAATGTTAAAGATGACATGTTATTCTTAGTTTATTGAATCAATAATATAAATATTATCGAATAAAAGTATTTGAAGTTTTATATTAAAAAAACATACCTCCATTTTATAATCATAAAGCAAATGTTGATGTGATATGACATTAAATAAAAAGTAATTAAATAACTTTTCTGTCCTATTTTTTTCAATTTCGTCCAAATAAAAAAAATGGCTAAATGATGCACTTTATCTCTTTTTTTCAATTTATTTTAGATATCAATATAATCTAACTTTTTTAAAAGTAAATCGGTGCAGTGGTCCTTTATCAATTATGTAAAATTATCTTTGTATATTCATAATTTTTACTTTCTAGATTATTAAATATATTTATTTCTATATTTATTTTATTTTATTTTATTTTATAAATGTCACAAATTATTAAATATAACTAATAAAAAATTTTATTTTTTATTATTTTATTAATAATATAAAATTGACGGATTTATAACATATTATTAATTAATTAATTATATAAATAAAACATTACATCAAAAAATATAATCACATTATTATCATATTATACTTTTTACATTATAATATAAGTTAACGGAATCAATAAAAAGAATTCACTGAAAAAAATTCGAATTAACATTAAAATATTAAGACAAAAATAAGAAAAAAAATGCTAATTTTATGCTTTAAAGTTTTTTTATTTAAATGTAATTTTAAGTGTAGTTAGTGTGATTTATTGGTAATGTCACCAATATTTATATACTCATATACTTGAATAAATTTGAAGACTCTTCCACATTTAACAGTTGGATGAAGATTTTTTTTTTTTTCTCTTTTTCCTCTCTGGACCTTCTTTCGCATCAACTGAACAAGTCAGTGTTAGAGGTAGGCCAAGAATAAAGGACCACGTTGAGCCAGCAGAAGATTTATCCTCACTTCAGAATATATGGGACAGGCAAAACAGGTTCCCAACCCTAACTTTTATTTTATTTTCAGCCCAAGAAAAATAGAATAATATTATTCCTTGATGAGTTCTGTGTCTTTTTATATTTATACATGAAAGAAGACAGATATTACCATGAAATACTACTTCTGGCAAGATTTTATCATTAATTTTTGGTGGTTTAAAATATAATATTTCATTCTCTTAGGGGAGAGTACGTACACACTGAATTGAACTGAATTGCTTTACCAACAGGGTACATGAAGAGCCTAACAACCAAATCCATAGCTTTGTATGGGGCCAATGTTAGGTTTGCAATCTAATGAAGAGTTTGTATTATCTATATAGTACATATTTTAACAACTTCTATGAAAGTTGGTGGACCATACCATCCTGAATTTGGTTGCATCTAATAATGCAAAAGTTTATTTATTATTTTTTTGTCTATAAGGGGAATGAGAAGATAGTTTGGGCGTTTATAAAATGGAATGTGGTTAATTGTAAGTAAATTATGAACACAAATGGTATTGGTGAACTCAAATTACCATACCATACATAAAACAAAGTTTAGCATGCTGTTTTTCTTGAGAGGCACATACTAGAATCACTTGGGGCTGAAGGGCATTTGCAAAATCAGAGGTTTGAATCAATGAAAAAAGACATTGCTAAAGGAGCATATGTAAATGAATATCTGAACAAATTTAGTCTTCATTCAAAGTAAAAATTAGTATACAAATCCAGCCAATGATTAAAAGAAAAGAGTAACAAATTGAGGGCAAAGACTTCCACTGATAAAAAAAGGCTAGTTTTTTATCATGTTGAAGAATATTTTAGTAATCTTCATCAAAGACAATGCAGTGATTAGTGCTTCAACAATATATATATTCAACCACTACACTCATTTCTAAATGAAGTGAAAGCTAAAAAGGACATTAAGCCATACTGTTATTGGATGAACTGGTAATGTTGTGATGATGCTACAACAAATAATCTGAGATCATTGGAGTGTCAAGGAAATAAATATTGCATTGAAATTCTGTGAAGTAGATGTCTCACCAACCTTAGGTCCAAACAATATATATATATATATCCAAATGCATCAAATCAATTACATATCCTAAACATTGTCCCAACTCTTCTTGATAATAGATTTCTGAAAAGAATGCAAAAGATTGCTAGTTTTCTACTACAGGGAACAATTGACATTTTATCTTCATCCTGATGATAAAGATCAGGCTGCCTACACTTGGGTAACAGTAAACCTGTATGCCATGTAAGCTAGATGACATTTATTAATCCTAATTTTCCTAATCTAACAATTAATGTGAAACATGCAACTTGCCTCACCTCAAGATTTCTCCTCATCTGATTGAGAGCATTGGGGCTCAGAATTAACGAAGAAGTCATCCACTGAAACAAAAACAAAGGTTTTGTTTAAATCAAAAGAAGGACTTCACTTTAAGAACTAAAAAGCAATAGCAGAAATTTCCAGATAGATTCCACCATTTTCAGAAACCAGATGCCTACTAAAATTGGTATAAGGTGCTCACTTATTAATCTATTTCATGAAATTTAGATTTCATTTTAATGTCCACTTTCTAGTTTTGATATTTTCCCTTGTAGTCTATACTTACTAAATTTCCATATGTCCATATATTTCAATTTTATAATTGGATCTCTAGTTTCATAAAGTGGAAAACAAGAAAATTGTCAGGATCCCTGAATCCACCTACCATTGGAGCACTATAGAAATCCAACTTATTCTTTATTTTTTAAGTATTGGAATTTGGAATCTAATTCTTAAATCTAAACTACAAGTATAATAGATTAGTTTAACCTTTTTTTTTTTTATGTATTTCACAAGAGCAAAACCCTATTTCACACTGATGCAAACCCTGACATTACTCTTGCCTTTGGAGTCAGTAGCAGACAGGAGGTCTAGAACTTAGGTTCTGTCTATGTCAACAAAATATTGTTGGGCCACTATTATTCATCCATAATATCAAAATTTAGAGCATTTAAAAAGATATATATCATTGAACATTACCTATATCCTGTTGATCCGGAGATTCAAGCAAAATATCTGAATCGGATGGCAAAAATGGTGAACCAGGATAGTTTCCCAGAGCTCCTAGATCTGCAAAGAACTCAAGACAGTAAAAGAAAGAAGACCCTAACAATGATTGAACATATAATACAAAATCTTGACTCTTGAGTATATCCTTGACTGCACTCAGTCATTTCTGAAATGATTATCGGTCATTTACTTGGAACCAATAGACCTTTAGACATTAATACCTACATCAGATACCTTCATGTAACAACATAAAATATAATAGAAGTTCTTCACAGATAAACAAAAATACCAACTAAGTCCAATTTTACTCGAAACTAAATATTGATGGTAAATGCTTCCTGCTTCTTTTTGGTTATCACTGACTCCAACTGATTCATCTTTTTCTTCCCAATATTCATATTTCTCTGGGTTGATGAGTGACATAACAGATCCCAAACTCAATTTTTTCTCCTCGAATATTAAGATTACTTTGGGCAGATGAGTGACACAACAGATCGCAATGATACATCTCAAACAAATTCACTCCCCAGTTATCTGACTAACTTAAAGTGCATAGCTGAAGTGAATCAGAGAGTCAAATAAGAAATTACCTCCCAAGTTTGGTAAATCTGCCGTTAGATCAGATAGACTAAAATTCCACTGAATTTGATCCAGCGATCTAGAAATTCCATTGCCACCATCTGATGCAAGCTGTAATCCTACTGAACTTGCCACATCAGATGTAAATGCTGTATCAAGGGCTGATGCATCTGCACCCATTCCTGATATTTCTGATGCAGTGAAGGGGAAATGGCCACTGGATGCTACTGATGTTGGACTTACTGGCATTTCTGAGACGGATGACATTGTACCATTTGGTGGAATAACAGGCGCCATATCAGGAGCACTGTGGTCCATCACCATACTTCAACAAGGACAAAGGCAAAGCGTGTTACTTTTAAAATAAAAGGAGGAAGGTGCTCCATCCACTTCAAATTAATAACTAATATGTACGTGCATGAAAGCCACAACAATCCAGGCATAAAAATAGGCATGATGCAGAGAAACACTAAGGGCACACAGTTAAATGAAAAGAAAAAATTACTGGATGTTGCATGGTAAACCATGTCAAAAAAATTAAAATGCCTGCCAACATGACTATAGATAATTATCAGTCATACGACTAAACAGTTATTCATGAAATCAATTACCACTCAACCACTAAATACACATTTACAATTTAAAAAAAAAAAAAAAAAAAAAAACTTAACCACAAAAGATTGTAATATTGTCCCCTACAGAAGTCATGTAAAGGAATTATGTGTAGTAGGAAAAGTTCTTACTCATTCCCAGAATTCATCCGAATGGGGTGGTGAAAGTTTCCTGGGGCAGGGACTCCATTAACGACATGACAACTTGATATACCACAACCCATGGAGTCAAGATGAGGTTGACCTGTTGCTTGCATGGGAGGCTGCTGTAGCACTGGGTATCCCATAGGTAAGTTGTTGACTGCACTGCAAACAAATGGTGTTAAAGAATAATGGAATGAAATAATAATAATAATAATAATAAAAAAAAAAGATAAAAAAAAAAAGATAAAGCAAAGTGACTCGTGCATTTATAATCTAATCCATCTTTTTGGACTGAAATGTACACACAGCAATAAACACATAAATTATGCAAAAGATTTATAAGCCCTAATAATATCGCAAATAAATCACCAGTGTTCATAAAATATAACACAACCAAGAAAAATATAAAAGGTTTCCTCTATTTAGATCATAGGGTAATACAAAGCCAGCAATGAAAGACTAACAAGAAAATACTGAGGTTTCCATTTTTGTACTTCAGAATTAAGAAGAGGAAAGTTGCCAAACACTCTCATAATAGCACTAATAAATGACCATTTTTCAAGAATCCAAACTTCTTGGTTAAATCTAAACATTAACATCTGGAGTGTAATCAGACAGCATCATAAATAATACTATGAAAAATGTATTTAATTACTGATTACTTCTCTTCAATAAATAATATAATTAAGTTTTCACAGCAATGACAGTAAAACCTTTATGCTTTTAAGGAACTTCTAAGAATTCTGAGAATCTTATTACTTTTTAAATTCTCATAAAGTGAAGTATCACTTAAGACCTTTTCAATGAGACATGATCTGCTGCTTGTTGGCCATGAAGTTTAGAGTGCGGTGAGAATGAGTTTGCATAACATGAGAAGTGACACATAAGCGTCATCACTCAATTCAACTCACAGTTTACTTTTAGTCATACAAAGAGGTTAAGATTTTCGTGTTTAACACACACTGACACTACACACTTATGAGAGGGCAAGAATTTACCAGGCATTGGATGGATTCCATTCTGTATTGGGGCCAATGGAACTTTTGCAGGCATCGGACACTTCATCAAATGATACTGATGCTCAAGCAAATGATTGAATAAAAGTATTTGCTTTTTCAATTTTAGCCTGATATAGTAGGCCCTGAAGAAATCAGCGTTTTCTTCCTCCAACTTCTGCCATACTGAATGAAAAAGGACCAGTTACAAAGCAATCGAACATGAGTCTGCATCCACTCTAAATGGTAGGGAATATATACAATGAAAGTAATGCCATGTTCTTTCTAAAAGCAACATGTCTACACTATCAAATTATGTTAACTTCCATGTAATCTAACTCATGAATCTGATATCAAATTAAAGTAAATAAAACTTGGAAAATCATTACAATTGACAAATCAATATCATTTCAAAGGTTTACTACAAACAGCATATACAATAGTCATATTACTGATAACAATTTACAATGCAGTACAATGGCATGATGGAGACCTTAAGATGCCTACCAAGAGTAGTGAATCCAGGATCTATCTTTGCCCGTGTAAGTAGTGTTTTAACTACTTCATCTTTATTCATATACAGCTGTAGGCATCTTTCTATTAAATTCTGGACCTGTTTGATATTAAATACAAAAGGGAAAAAAAAAAACAGATTAGTTCAGATAAACTACTGCTAATGAAAATTCAACCCATGAGATATAGGAGGCGAGTGAAAAATTGGGAAATAACAGAAAACTAATCAAATGTTCAGCAAAGAACATATATCCTTACAAACTCAATATCCTGCCGTGAAACTTTTTTACTGTCATTACTTGTAGCAGATGCTGAGCCTGTGTCTGTAACAGGAGCATCAGTTGTGTGATTGTTTGGTGGTTCACTCTTGGGTTCATGAGAAGCTTGAGTTGATGACTGTAAATCTTCCGAGTTCTGCATATCCATAAAAGATTAGCTTAGTGTAACAACAATATATGTAAGCAACTAGATGTGTTTAATGAAGGAAATCAGAGTAGATGTAGAAAGCCAGAAAATATTCTGTAACACTCAATACAGCAGGCCAGCAGCACATTAATGTTTAGAACATAAATATGTACACATTAGTTTGCTTATAGAAGTATTACAACAAACTAGACCACTGGAAATGGCAAGGGAATTTTAGTATTTATCAAGGAAATTCTCATTAACCTCCATTATAGTCAATTTTGAGAAAAGAATTATATCTTTGCCTTTAAGTAATAGACCTTCATTCCACACTTATCCAAGCTTCAGAGCATCACCAAGACCAGTTAACTTATTTATTAGTTATTGCTGGCTACACCAGTGACATATAAAAAACCACCATGCAAAACCTCCATTTCTTCAATTTTATAAACACAAACCATTATCTCCATGTATTAGTGTGAAATTCATTGCACTAACCGAGCATTCCTTTTCCCTTGTCATATCACCCCCTTGTTGGTGCACAAGTGCACATCATATCAGGGTTTTTCACCAAAACTACCAAATTAACTATGTCATATACATGCAAACAAATTCACTATCTCCATTCAAACCAACTGACAAATACTCAAAACTACTTTAAAAAAAATTACAGGAGGAATTAAGAAAAAGTTACAGATAAACTCTATCAACAATAGGTAACATACAAAATAAATGTATTCTCAGTAATTGCAGAATTACCACTAATAACGCTGTATCAACTAGAATAATTTCAATTTTTCAACTATGATAGATAAATGAACAAAAATATAGCAAACCTTAGTGATGTTTTCATCTATTATGTTTCAGATTGAGCTAATTGGGGGAAATATATGCTTGTATCGATTGAATTAAGTAGTTTCCTAAGGGTAAATTTGTCTTTTGCTCAACAGACAGACAATCATGCATGAAATGGTTGGCTGTAACTATATTTTAAAAGGAACAATATCATGCACATATATTCTCAATGTTGACAGCCAATAAGGCCAACTGTAATAGATCCATAAAATTAACCATTGCAATGGTGGATATTGCAAACTATGCACCAACTACCAAGATAAAAAGCATATAACAGGGGAACCTGCAAGTTCTTCATTTCAGCAGAAAGAAGGCTGACTGCATGTCTTTCAGGAATTTAAGTAATCACTAACAGTCTTCAAATTCAAGATTTTTGCATTTATGTCAATGGCACTCCCAAGTTGAAGCAGTCTTCATATGAAACAAGAGGAGCAATGAGAGAATGTTAAACCATACCACTTAAATAAGCATTTTGTTATTTAATTCAACAAAAACCATCTAAAAAGAAATTCATATCAAAATACCCTTAAACAAAAAAACAAAAAAAATAGTATGTTCTACATCAGAGACAACCTCCTATGGAAAGGAAAAATTTAGTTGCCACTTGCCTGTACTGTTAAAAAATCTTTAAAAAGAAAATCAGGTTCATTAATTGCACAATTTAAAATGAAAAAAATAAAACATCCCAGAAAGGAAGGATGACAATTGCATTTATTACTGCACTAAAGCAGACATTAGCAAATTAGTGCAGCAAGTCTGAGATAAGGCCAAAAAACTACAATTTCCTTAATTTTTATCTTTTCAGTCAACCTAAGAATTTCACCATTCCTTGTAAAAGAATATGAGCAGACACAGCTTTTAAGATGAATTATAAATTTCTTCAGGCTAAAAAAATAAAAAATAAAATTTAAAGTCGGTTCTGGTTCTTCATAGAAAATAATAACTAATCTATCAATTCTGGAACCTACGAGAAAAGGGGAGAGGAGAATGCAATCATGCAGTACTTTCAGAAAAATGACAGTCGGTGAAACAATGTCTTCCATCAATGAATTCTGAGAATCTACAATTAATTAAAATGGTACCACAAACAAAAAAACAGTATTTTTCAAATCCTAAAAAAAAAAAGAATTGATGAACAAATTAGGAACAAACCAGATCTCAATTATCAATGAGATGTTGAGAACTGAAGTGGAAGCAACACACAGATTCGTCAAGCAAAATAACTCCTTCAAAGGAATAAACTTTTCAAGCCACCAAACAACAAAGCACCCCCAATGCCCCAAAAACAAACACCCCATGAATCCAAAAAAGAAATGAAGATCTAGCAAATTATATTACCTCACACTCAGTTCCTGAATCTCCAACCAAAAAAAGCAAAACAGTTTATATCGACGAATTCAAAAATCCCACCAGTTAATTCAAGCTTACTTAGCTTGAAAAAGATGTATCAACTCATGGAAGGAAAAAAGAATGAAAATTTGGAGAAACCAGGGAAGGCTGGTAAGTGGGGCTGAGGTTGAAGGAATGAATAAGTGAATAGTGAATAATAATAATAGCATTTGAGGTTTAAGAAGATATTTTGAAAAGGGTGGAAAATGATATTTACATTAGGGACACAAGTCTGAATGACAATGAGGGTGCTGGAAGAAAATTACAGTGTGAGAGAGAGAGTTGTGTTCTGTGCAAAGGTGAAGGGAAGGTGAAAGAGATAGCATGTTGAAAAATTAGGGACTGAAAAATCAAATTTTGAAAAAATATATTCTATTTACAATTTGGGACAGTGACTTCTATTGACTCATACGGTTTGGACTTTCTATTATTTTTTTCCTAGTAAACTAATAAATAAAGATTAGTTAAATTGAATTTATATTTACATAAAACTCACACGGCTTGTTTCTCGGCTTTGGTCACAACACAAGTTAGAAGTAACATAATAATGTTTGTATGATCCACAACAAAAAGAAACACCAACCTAACTAGGTTAAAATTAATGTTTATTATTACCTCAATTTGACCAAAATTGTTACAATTTATAATTCATAAATTCAAATTGAAAAATATCTGTTTGGTTAAAAACTGTTCAAAAGAATGATTTTTTTAAATTAAAACATTAATACTTTATATGATAAATTTATCAAATATTGTTCATTTAAATTTATTTCAAATAAATATCAATCCAAATAAATTTTATATTATAAATGAGTCTCAAAACTATTTCAATAGGATCAACTTAAAATCTAATTACTTAAGAAATTTTAGTGAACTACATAAAATAAAATCCTTCTAATTACTTTCTAATAAATATTTTTTATATTTTTCTCCATCAAATATTTTAAATAATTCATTAATAAGATATAAACATATTTTTTGGATATCAATAGTATTAAAAAATAATATTTACAAACTTTATTGTGAAAAAAATGACTAATTTTATGATTTTTTTTTCAAAATATAATTCATTTGTATAAATAACTGCTTAAATATCATGTCATCTTTGTACACATGTTGTCATGTAAATAACTTAATAAATAAGAGATGTTCATTCTGGCACCTTCTACCAGGTCTTTTATTCATCTCAAAACTCATTTTCTTCATTTTTTATTCATCTTCTCCTTTGTGTCAAAACTTCAATCATTTTTAATCATTTTTGAACTTCAAGTTATTCCAAGGCCAAACCACCCTACACAGAAGAAAACCCTAAACAAAAAATATTAGACAAGAAGGCGAAGCAAGTATTAAAAGAAATAGAGAATGATCAACACATATGAGCTCAATCAATAGAAAAAAAATGAATAAAAAAACTTGGACACTAAGTAAATATATGTTATGAAACGCAATACATTAAATCGAAATATTAGTGACAGAGTCAGAAATTAAGAGGTCATAACACTACTACAAAATATACTTTCAACGTCGTCATTTAACGTCGGTTAAAGCTGAGCCGACGTTAAATACACTTTCAACGTCGGTTGGTTAAAAAACGACGTTGAAAGTGGAATGTTGGACACATTTTACGCTTCGGCTTAGTCAACCGACGTAGAAGCATCTTTCCACGCTCTGTCTAGATGAACCGACGTTGAAAGTCTTTTAATTTAGACATTCAACGCTCGGCTCTCGGATGAACCGACGTTGAAAGTCTTTTCACCCAAAAATTCTCTTAATTTCAAGAATTGTCACCGACAGATTCGAACCCAAGTATTTTAGAGTTGAAAGTTGATACTCCAACCACTAAACTACTCGTAATTTTCTCGATAATAACTTACAAATTAACTATATTTATATACAAATAAATATATATCCGTGTAAATATATATTTATTTATATATATTTTCTGGAAAGTGTTTTTATTTTTTTCAACCAAAAATTTACTTAAGTTCGAGAATTGTCACCGACAGGATTCAACCCAAGTATTTTAGAGTTAAAAGTTGATACTCCAACCACTAAAATACCTGTAATTTTCTCGATAATAACTTACAAATTAATTATATTTATATATAAATAAATATATATCCGTGTAAATATATATATTTTCCGGAAAGTATTTTTATTTTTTTTCACCAAAAATTTACTTAAGTTAGAGAATTGTCACTAACATGATTTTTTGAACCCAAGTATTTTAGAGTTGAAAATTGATACTTCAACCACTAAACTACTATAATTTTTTTATAATAATTTACAAATAAATTATATTTATATACATATAAATATATATTCGTGTAAATATATAAATACAAATATATTTATATATTTTGATATATTTATATATATTTATATAGTTATATAGTTATATATTTATATGTTGGATGTGAAGGCGCGTTCGAGGTGAAAGTGAGATTGACTCTCGCTTGAGTGAAAATACGTTAAAACTCACTGAAATTCACTCGTTCAAGCCTCGCTTGAGCGAAAATTGGTACTTTTCGCTTGAGCGAATGATGCGTTTCTCATATTTATTTTATATCATTAATAAATTATAAATATTATATTCTGTCATTAAATTACAAACTCATATAAAGATACTCGCTCACAAATTTGACATCAAATTTTGAAAACTCACTTGACACACTTTCACCTTCGAGCGTGCCCTCACATCCAACATATAAATATATAATTATATAAATATATCAAAATATATAAATATATTTGTATTTATATATTTATATATTTACACATGATATATATTTATTTGTATATAAATATAATTTATTTGTAAGTTATTATCAAAAAATTTGAGCATCCAGACACTAAGAGTACTTGGGTTCGAATCCCATCAATGACAAAAAATTAATTTGGTAATGCTCTAAACTTTAAAAAAAGATGAAAAATAATAAAAATATAATATAAAAGAGAGAGGGACCTAATAAAAATATAATATAAAAGAGAGAGTGATTTCAGATAAATGTAGAGAGGAGAGGGTTGGAAATAAATAAAAATTTTCGATTTGAAAGTCAGGACTTTCAACGTCGCCTGATCCAAATAGGTTAGAAAATATAAATGTTTGTGATGCTTGAAAAGGTTAACCAAAGGAAGGTTTAAAAAATTCCACCTTGAAATAAGTTGTAGGGTAAAGTCATCATCTTTCTTTATCTTTCCCATAATGGTTGATAGGTAGGGATTTAAGTTGAGAAATATAAATTGGACAAACTTATGAAAATAATAAAATCATAAATATTGAAAAAGGTATAATGTTCAACAGATGATTTTGTTTTGGATGTTTCCATAACAAGATTTTTCTTGGGAAGAAAATTTAGTGAGGTCAGGTAGCTATCATAAAAGTAGAGATTTTCAAAAATCTAAACTCTCAATTAGTGCCTTCGTTTTGATCTCATGGAAAATTAATGATGGCAAAAAATAATGAAAGATGGGCTAAGAAAGATTTTTGAAAATCAAAGAAAATAATGAAATCACACACAATTAAAAGTTCTTTGTTAAATTCAAACAATCAAAGATTTCATATTTGATTTCAAAAACTAAGCATGATTTATCTTTAAACATGTCGCAATTAGTACACACTAAACCTTATCTTGTTCAACAGTAAAAATAATATTACCCATAAAGGTTCTTAGTTCAAATAATTCACTTATAAAAAGAATTCTTAATCATGTATATTATTTTAATTGGATAAGATTAATTGAGGTTAAATCAGGATAAATAGTTTTCTTCTTCTATTAATAATTACAAATTTATTACAATTAAAAAAAACACCTACAATCATAAAAAAAATGGTCATTAAAATCTTCAACAATTCCAGTAAAAATCATAACACAAAACATAAAATATAATAAATATTAAAATATTAAAATGGTAAGAATAATATAGAAAAATAATTATTTTATTATTATTAATGTGAATAGCATGAAATAAAAAAAATGACTATTAACAAATATTTTAACCTTCAAAAGTAAAATAAAAACTATTAGACCCATTAATTTCCTAATTTGACTTTGGTGGATTTTCATTAATTCTCTAGTTTTCATCTCCTTTAACACTGTCAGAATTTTAAAGCAATATATCAGTTTGTGGTTGAACAAACCAATAAATTCTATGGTGTTGTGATAAGTATATATAGTGTGAACTAGATGCATGAACAAATGGTAGATATTTAAAAGAAAAAGTAATGTATATAATTTTTTCTGCAATGAATGCGAATGTGAGGTAGGCACTGAGCATGCAAAATGATTGAAGCAATAAGAGTGATGGGTTTCCTCTGCAGAAAGCAGGGACAGTGCATGTCTTCCTTCAACCCCTTTTTTCAAAGCTGGATTTCATGTGTGGTTGGAGGGTGAAAGAAAGAGAAGGAAAATGAATGAAGTGCAAAAGCCACGACCTTTGCAAGGCTGAATGAATCATTGATTGATTGGTCTCACTAACCTAATTAGCGGATCTACGTAGAAAATGACAAAACCCCTTAATGCACGCCCAACTTGTTCATTGTTTCCTTTACCCTCTCTTCTCTCACCACCACCACCACTTCCAATCAATGCATCAAACCTTATTCATTCATTCAATTCTTCTTTTCTTTTATCAACTTCTTCCCCCTTCTCATGTTAGTGGTCCAACCCTCTCCCCCATGTCATGTCACCTCCTCCTTCAACCTATCTCTCCCATCTCACTTCAAATTGTACATAAATGTTCAGGATAAACTAGGTTAGACCAATTAAATTAATTGCATGTAGGTTAGTGTACTTATTAAGACAACACATGTTAAAGCTTCTTCTTAAATATTACTAATGTGAACTAAATTTTTATTAAAACTATTCAATTTTAGAATATTATTAGACTAAATATTTAATTTAAACAAAAAAAAAACAAATCCAAAAATAAAGTTAAGACAATTTTTCACTGTACTTTTAAATGTAACAGTTTTGTTTGTTCCTAAGACCACTGCGGCTGGAGAATTCCTGTTCCTTGGCTTTTGGTGGTAAAGGAAAGGCCGGCTTGTAAGCCGCTCATGGCTAATTTGCTTGCATTAATTATTATTAATATTAAATAATTTTTTCGTAAGGTTTAATCATAATTTAAATAAAAAATACATAAATAAATAACAGTTATTATTATAATTATAAAATAATAAAAACCTAAAAAAGCTTTGCACAATGGTAAACGGACACCATAAGAGAGATCTTGTTTGGATGCACACCAATCTATGAAAGGGAGGGTTGCCTTATTGTGGATGAGAATGTGACAAGTGGCAGGCATTTAGCGGAGGATCGTGGTGAACGCGTGACCCTGAATAGTAAGGGTTTATTTATGTGGTCAAATATAATAATAATTTATTAAAAAAATAAATAAATTAAGGAACGACTTTCAAAATTCCCGCTAAGATTGTGATCTTAATTCCTCTCGTCTACTAGTGCCCATCTCTCTCAACTCAATCCATTCAAACACCTCTCAATTTTATTTTATTTGGTTATTTTTATACAATTAATTAACTACTCAACTTCAAAAATATATTTACATATTTTTTACTAAATTAAAAAATATTTTAAGCACATTTATTTTTGAATTACAATTTAAATTGATGTTTAATCTTAATTAATATAATTGTAACTAATAATTGAAATTAAATTTTAAATTATAATATTAAAATATTTGTTAACTAAAATAATATAATATATTTTAAATTTTTTTACCAATCATGCGTATGAAAATACATGACATACAATCATAAGTATTAAACCATGATTGAAATTCTAAATCTATAAGGTAACTATTATCTAACCTATGACATTTTTAAAATAAAAAGATAAAATAACTGTATAGGATTAAAATGTATTCTATTAGATGATGTTGTGACGTGAATACATATTTCATTCAATCAAAATATATATATATATATATATATATATACGAGAAGAAAATAGAAAAAAAAAATGGATGAAAAGACAGAAAGGTGCACATGGGAACAAAGTGAGTGTCACCCAGAGCCCAACCGAATGACACGAACACATAAAGATACAGTAGTAGAGGAGCAAAACCCACGGGGAGAGACGAACACATCACATAGAAAAGTGCAAACGACTTCTACTTTCACCCAGGTTGTATCCGACCCATACCCAATCATCACAACTCTTTTCTATTTACAGCCTGCACGAATTCATATTACATGTGTCTGTTTTATATTTCATTTATATATATATATATATATTGTCATCGAAGAAAAAAATTATAATCTATCTATATTTATATTATACTTTTTATTTCTTTTACTTATAAATTTTTTGTTCATTTTTCATTTTTTAAAATTCTATATCACATTAATTTTTTTAATAATTTTAATAATAAATATTTATATTTTAAATTTAATATATGCATTAATATAAAATATGTCTAATTATTTTAAAACATTTTACAAATAATGATTAATTTTTTTTACAAAAATTAATTTTAAAATTAATAAATAATACGAGGAATTATTTAATTTTAAATATTATAAGAATTTATCTTTTAAAATTAATGATAACAATGGAAGTTAACTCTAAAAGAAATAAAAATTATAGAATAAGGTTTTCTTAAGTTAATCGTTAGAAAGTTAAAAAATAAAAAAATAAATTAAGAAAAAGAAATTAAAAAATAGAAAATATATTGTTATTTGATCTTTCATCAATTAAGATTAATATCATTTTATTTATGATTTATATAAATATATGATAATCATTAAATTTCATCGTTTAAAATAATTTTTTAAAATTGAACTAAAAAAACACGACAATGAGACTGCAAACACACATTGTAAGAACGTTGTTGAAAATTAAACATTAAGTGTATGCTGATTATACAAGGAAGTCACGGGAATGGTTGAAAAACAGAAAAGAATTATACAATCAATTTGGACATAAACAAGTGCTAGTTTATTTTTAAACTTTCTTGTTAATTATGAGTTAAACGAATAACAACATAGTTTGATTTTGTGGAAATACTGCTTAGAGGTAAAATAAGTAAAGAGATTTTACACTGGTAGCTAATTTTAAATTAGGAAAGTATAATATTCAGTAGTAATATATGTATTATGTAAATGGATATTTAAAAAAAATGTATTTTAAACATTTAAATATTTTACTTCAAGCGTTTAAACATTTAAATGTTTAGAGCCACGATTAAAGAAAAATAAATATAATTAATTATTTTATTTAAAAATATTTTTGTTTAAATAAGGTTTGAGAAAGATGCTCAAACAAAATAATGTTGATGTTGAAATAATAAGAGCTTGTTTATTAAAAAAAGACACAAGAGTAGAGGAGTTGGATATTTGAAGGATATCTTTGAAGTGACTATAAGATGTTCAAGCAATAAGTTTTTATCGTGAGAAAATATAATGAGAAATTGATAGGAAAAAAATGAGTTAATACCTAATATAAGTATGGAATATGTAGATTAGTTGAGATTAAGAGATATTATTTCGTCACAATAGTCTAAAAACCACAAAGGTACTTTTATATAATATTATGATAATTATGTTTAAAATAAATTTAATGACATCCTAAATAATATTAATAAACTGTACTATAATGTTCAAATAGTGAGAATTGAATGACATATTATTGGTAATATGTTTTGAAATTAAGAGATATGTATGTTATAACTAATAGCATTATCAACCGTTTTGTGTATAAGATATTCATAGTGTAAAAATAAAATAAAATATTGATCTAATAACTGATTGTAAATTAAATGTTAATCTTTAAGGTAAAAACGTAGAATTAATTCTTTTTGATAAATATCTAATTGTGTTGTAGGATATATATATATATATATATATATATATATATATATATATATATATATGAATATATAAATTATTGTATTAAATATTTAACTTCTCTTTTATGTTGTTGTTTTTTTACTTGATTATTATTATTATTCTGGTTTATTAGTCAAAAATTAAAATTACTATCTAATAAATATATTATATATTATTTATCAATAATTTTTTTTATATATAAAATAACATATATATATATATATATATGAAAGAGATTCCCATTTAAAAAAATTTCATCTCTTGTAATTATTGTTATAATATGTTATTAATGAGATAATATAAGAAAAAGTATTTGGAAAAAAACGGAAAAGAACAACGTGATAAATATAAAGACTGAAAAAAATGTATAAAATCTATAACTTAATTACATTAAAAAAAAGTTATTTTATAATCATTTTTAGTATCATCATACAATTAAAGAAAGTTTATTATAGTTTATATATTTAAAGAATAATAAATATAAAAAATAAAAATATATTAATTAATTAATGAGAAACTAAATATATTTAAAAAATGAATAAAAAAATTAATTTAAAAAATATAAATATATAATATAAATACGCATGTTTCACTAATAATAATAATTTTATCAAGACAATTATCATATTTTTATATTAATATAATATAATACTAGTAAACAATTAAAACTCTGAAGATAAAATAAAAAGATTTGACATTATTATAGTTTAAATAAATAGAAAATATTTATTTTAAACCATGTTGTTAATATATATATATATATAAAGAACATGACATTAATGGGAGAGACTTTTTTGCTGCTGCATTAATGGCATTGACAATTAAATAATTTGATAAATAAGTAGTTTGAGAAAAAATATTTGTTTTATTATTTTTCCAGAAGTTGTTTTAGTTATTTATTTTTTAAAACTATAAAAATGGTTTGATAATTATATACATTTTTTTAATTAATTAAATAAAATATTTTTAAATTCTTATTATGATTGTAAATAGTGGCAGACCATACTTCTTTATCTAAATTTAAAAAAAAATTAAAATAATATATATATATATATATATATATATATATATTTTAACTTATTCTGGAAAATAACTTTCAACTTGTCATCGTCTAAATAACAAAAATCATATAAAAGTTTCAAATATTCTTTGTTTCAAAATCAATATTATTGGTGAATATTTTAATTACAAATTGATTTCGTTGGACATGGTTGAAATCACGATAGGTACAGGTCCAGATTACTGAGGTCTAAGATGCAAATGCAAGAGCATTCTTTCTCGGTGCTCTTTCGAACCGTCATTGCAAATAACATATTCTTTTTTACTTTATTCTTCAATAATATTTTTATTAACTATTCTTTAAAAATAAAAATAGAATAATAGGTTGATATAATAAAAAGTACCTTGTATTAACAGAAGAGACAGTGTCACAATTTTAAGATTTTGAACTCATTTATAAAAAAATTAAGTGATAATAATAAAGAAAAAGAGGGTTTAAACAAACCAAAAAGCTAAGTTTTGTCAACGTCTTGGTGCTTGAATTTATGAACACGACTAAACTCTGTTCACAACTTTCTCGTGATATCACCATCACAAATGTTTAAAAGTAGACATTAAATTTACAAAACCATGGCATGAACCAATTTTTAGCCACTTAAAATTGAAACAGTTGAAAGAATAATTTTGGAGAAGAGGGACAAGTAATAGTGGGATTGTAGGTTATTATCTTAAATGCGACGTAAGCAAAAGTAGAAAAAATGGAACTAGAAAACAAAATAGTTGGAGTTTAGCTCCTAATGGATAAGCATAAGGTTTACTAACTCAGCTTCCAAAACTTCATTAAGCACTTAGAGATAACCTTGTTACTGTTGTAGGTCATGATTGGAATGTTGTAGGTCTTTAAGGGTTGAGTGGTGGAAATAGGAGGAGGAAAAAATTATAGATTTGGAAGAAGAAGGGTGAAGCAAAGTATAGTTTAAACTTATTAGGGAAATTATTGGAAGGACCACAATGTATCAACTTCTATCACCTTTCTTCATTGTGTCTGCATCCTTTGTTGGTGAGAGAGGTTTTGTAAGCACTTGGATTTCAAAGGACAAGTGCTGGACACACTTCCCACCCCCATTGGGCCCCAATTGGGCCCCCATTCATCTACTCTCCAACTCCAACCAATTCATACTCAATCTCTCTTTCTTTCCTTTCATTTTTTTAGGTTTAATTGTACTTTTGTTTTTTATATTTTTTTTAATTCTTTTTGTCAAATTTTATCTCTTAATTGTTTTCTTTTAGTTCATGATTTTTTTATTTCTAAATTATTCGTGAATTTATTTAATTTTTATATTTAAAAAATACATTGAAAATATATTTAGTAACATGTTTGTTGCTTCCCTGTGCAATAATAATGTATAGGAGACATCAGTATCATCAATGTACGGAATAATAAAAAGTTATGGACCAATGTCACTTCAATTTGAGTCAAATTTTAAGAAAAAAAAACTCAAAAATTTATGAATAAATTGCACTAATAACATTGTGAACTAAAATAATTATGATATCATCATTTAAGGTCTTATTGTACGAATATAAAATTAAAATATATATATAAGTTGTTATGCAAATGATTAGTATTCATTCGTCATAAAATATAATGTTTGATGTTTGCCAACTTATTTGATGAGTTTTTTTTTTTTTTTTTTTTACAGAGATCAAACAATTTGCTAAATTAATAAAAAAATTAAACAATTTAGTCATCCAGTGTCTCTTCTAATGTTTAGATACATGCCAATTTTTACAATTTTTTTTAATGAATTTTGTAAAATTTCTTCAATTTTTTTAAAACCCTTACAAAATATAATTTTTTTTCAAATAAATAAGCATAATCTTATCCCATACATGTGACTGGCCAATGCACCCAAAATATATAAAATCACAAAAAAAAAAACACAACTTCAATTATTCAAAAAGTTCTAAGTATCTTTCATCTGTTCTTTGAACTCAAATAATTGACTGCAATTACTCATTAAAACACTTAATTATTATAAAGCTTGAAAAAGTTACAAAAAATTTACACAAGAAAAGACATCAGTTTTAAGTGAGAGAATGAGGGGTTGTGGGTCTGTCCACTTAATACCCATCTTTGTATGAATATCAATGTCCATGCAAAAAGAGTTGCACAACCTGGTAACACATATAAATCACTAGAAATTAATTTGGGTGTTTAATTTAATATTACTTTAAAAGTGTTCATTCTATAATATTGAGGACTCTATTATTCAATATATTGAGGCAAAAAATGCCCCTTATATTATTGTGTTGTAGATACGATGAGTTAAATTATCCCATCCCTTTGCTTTGTTGTAAAGAGGTGCAATTTGGAAAATGTCATAATGTCCACTTTGATAATTGTCAATATTAGTAATGTGTTAGAATCATGGTATATGAAAAGAGACATGTTTTTAAAATGGGATTTTAGGTTTAAAGATTATGTTCCAATTAAATTTAATAAAATAATATTTTTTATAAAAAAATAATAAAAATTACTATTTAAAAATTATAAATATAAAATATATTGAAAAATGAAAAATTATTAAAATAAAATAATTATTATTATTTCAAATTGACGTAACTACTAAGATAAAAAAATTAAAATATATTATAATTTTTTATAAAAGAATTATATTAAATAAATTTGATCATAAAATATTTTTTTATCAAAATTACATTTAAGATTTTTTTAATTTTATCGATTTTGTCCTGTTTAATAGGTATTCTAAAAACAACATAATAGATTAACTGGTCGGTCCGATGGATTTTGAATACAGTGGGACATGTGGTGCAGTTATTATAGTTAATGGCTAATCTTTCATTGATTGCATAGTCATGTTAGGTACAAATGAAAGAAAAAAGGTGAAGAAAGTATTAACTTTTAGCTTTTATTTTGTACTGTAATGTAATTAGCTGACTCAATATTATTAATTAATTGATTCAATTTTTGCTTTTTAGGTCAAACAAATGTGTCGGTAATAAAAAATTATTGGCTCCATATACATAGGAAGTGTTCATACATGAATAATTCTTCATGAAAATTGGTTTGCCAAATTATACAGTGACTTGAGCCCAAGTGGTTTTGCAAGTGCCCAAATCTTAAAGTCATGATCACGAACTTGCAAAGCCTTATGGTGATTGCTCTAACATTCTATTGAAGGTTTGTAGGGTTTGGCCATGAACAACTTGTTGAGATGTCTAAAAATGTCCCTGTTTACAACCATTGTAGCAAGCAAAAAGGGTCGCACCAAATATAAATTTGCTCTGAATTCATGCTACACAATGGACACCATGAAGGTTGAGGAATAAAAAATGAAGTTTCAGAGTTAAAAATTAAAAACAGCATGTCCACTGAAGAGCACTAGAATTGGCCCCAGATATAGTGGACTTTGATTGAACGATGAAGACATGCAGTGTAGTGTAACGAGGAACAATATTATCAACCTTTTCACGAACATCTGTGGTCGGAATATTATGAGAAAAAAGTCCCTCGCTTTTGTTTAACTTAGTGAGGTTTGCTTTTTTTATTTTGTTCTTATACTTCTCTTTTTGTCCATCACTCTTTTGTTATCCCATTTTTTTTTTTTTTTATATTATACTTAACATTTAAGACTCGGAAACTAAAGTTATTTTAATATACTTTTATTTCCGATATTCTGGTACAAAACTTAACCAATGTAACTTTTGCTTAAATGTTGGACAAATGTTTATATGTATATCATATCTATGTCAATTATACATTAACAATATATATCATGATATAGATATTATATATTTTAGTGTTATATTAATGTCATTAACATTACTACAATTAATATTATCACATCAATATCATATTATATTCAAATTTACTAAGGAATTATCAACAACTTCGAATCCATCAATAAGTAAGTTAAGCTCACTGTAATGGTAACGAGGTGAAAGAATTTTTTTTAGTTGATATATGATCTCATACAAACAATCTAAAAAAAATTATTACAGAAAATTTTAATCATATACATAAATTCGTCATTAAATTATTTAAATCTTAATTCTTTAAGTAATATTGAACTTAAATTAAATAATTATTATTTTAATCTCTTTACAATTGAAATCATTCAATAATGTATAGTGTCAAGAATTTTTATAGATTTTAAAATCCATGCTTTTATGCATTATTTTCAATTATGTGATAACATTCTAAATTTAAAATCATATGTTAATCATGTTAATATCAGTATTTAACGTAGACAACATTAATATAATTAAAATAAATATTTGATGAATTCAAAAATTTAAGTGTTTGTCTTAGTTTGAGACTCATTATTAACAGAACATTTGTCATTCTTTTTTTCTGTTAAAGAATAATTATTTATAACAATTATATTGAATTCAAATAAAAAAAATTAACTAAGCTAATTTTATCTGTTTCATCTCCTAAAAAATTATCAAAATTATTTCATTTTTTATCAACAATAATAAAATAAAAGATAAAAATTCTGAAAAGAATCTTTTTAGTAATGAAAATCCATATGCGTGAAATACATATTCAATAATCATTAATAAAAAAAAATAATTATCATACGTTAATGAATGACATATCATTTCATTTCATGACCTCTATTTAAAAAAAATAAAAATTTCCTTGCATGCCATATTAATTTAATGCCAATGAAATATATCATTTTAAACATGATTTTTGTAATTATTATAAAGCTTGAAAAAAAAAATCATGATACTATTTTATTAGATGGTAATAAATTTCACTCCCTTTCTAGTCCTTTAACATAAAGCACTTGAGATAAAATTATACAGATGTTTTTTTTGTTTTTGTTGAAATGTTAGCAATACATGAAATAACTATTCTTTAATAAAAGCAAAAATACTCATTATATTTAAAAGGACAAAAACAAGAAAAATAAATCTGATATAGAATGTATAAAAATTATAAAATACCTTATAAAAATATCATAAATTTCTTCTAAATTATATCTTATATAAAAAAATCCAAGAAAGTAATAATTAACTAATAATTTCATGAAGTTACAAAGGTAATTTTTTAAAATAAATAAACAATTTTTTTATAGAAGACATCATGCACCAAACAATACGTTATATTCATTCACAAATACATCACCTGTCAAACAAAACACATGCACAATATATAAAACATTTAAAGTGTTTACATTACACACAATTTTCATATTTTTTAACAATTTAAAGTGTTTCCCTTCTTAAATGTCAGCGTGAATTCAGACGAGGAATTAATGCAGAAGTGAGAGTATAAATAAGTTATGAAGTGTACACTCCATACAGAGAGAGATATAAACAATAATCTTCTCTCTCTTTCACTCCTCGTATGTTCTGATTTACAAGTTTATTTTCTAATACTTTCTGTTGCATGCTCTTCTTCTTCAAGCACAAACTCTTCCATTCCTTGCTGGGTTTTCTGCAACTCTTCTTCTCACGGTGAGTAGTTACTTTCCTTCTCTCTCTCTATACATATATATTTTCATGCATAATGGATGTTTCCACTACCCTTTGTTCATGCATGTCTCTTTCTTTTTCCTTGTTTTTTCCACTGTTCAACTCGAGTTTCTTGGTTGTTCATGTTTTCTGCTAATAAAAGTTGATGACCAGGAAAATGATGATAAGCCACACCCTTTGGATTCATACAAGTTGGAAGAGATAAATAAGAAGAAGGGAGAATGTAAATATATAATAACAAAAACAATTTTTAGACATTTTTAAGATGCTTTTCAATGCCTAGTGAGAGAGAATACAATAGAGGTTTGATAGTTAAGTATCTGGAAATCTGAAAAAAAATAATAATAAACTTTTGATCATACATTGAAACAGAAGGAGGAAAAATTATTCTATAAATTATGATCAACAAATGTCTAAGATATTTTCTGATTTCTTCATGACACATACATGAGTTTTTTCAATTTGTAATAACGAGTTAATACGATTCAATTATGTGTTACATGGAAATTAGTGGAGTACGGACATAATCACATAAAGAATATGCAATCACAAATATAAGGTAGTGAGTTTCATGAAAAAAAAAATACAAAATTAGAGTGTTATTATTATAAGGAGTCAACTATTAATTAATTATTGATTGAATTAAAAATTCATCAGTTAAATTTGACTTACTTTTAATCATGAGTAAAAAATTGTGTAGTATTGTTAAAGATTAAAATAAAAATAATTATGAGTTAACTCATTACTACTAAACTGTTTTATCACATACATACATTATATGGGTCAAATTCATTTTAATAATTTATTGTGATAAATTGAGTTGACTCATATATTAAAACTCACTATTTGTTGTGTAGGTTAGAAAATAAAATTTATTTAACAATCACGTTTTCCAGTATATTATACTATACTAAAATTATATTCCTAAAATTAATAATTTTCTTCTAGAATTATGAAATCAAAGCAAACATTTTTTTTGGACATGGATGAAATTTGTTTCATAAATATTAATATTTATCCTTTGAAAGCAAGGCTTCCACGCTTTTAAAAAAATATACTATCTATCTAAGAAATTATCATATATATATAAAATTTTGCTTGATTTTATAATAATTATTTTAAAAAATATATCTAATAAAATTTTACTTTATTGTGAATATTATTTTTTGTGGTGTTTGTACATGTAACTTAACTTGGAAGAAAATTATATAATACAGTTTGTTTGACATATAAAAGGTATTTATCTTTCACTTTAAAATAAAAAATAAGAATATCATCTTTCTCACCACTTTTACATAACTTTCATTTCAAAAGTATATACATATAAAAGTCAAGATGTGATAAAATGACATATTGTCCACTTTCTTAATTATTTTTCAAATTAATTAACGTGTATATACCACTTTTAAAATTTCACAATATAACCTTTTTTTTTTTGTTAACGGTATAAATAATCTATTTTTGAATCCATTTTTCTCATTAATTTGTTATATTTTTATTCAAATAAGACTACAACTGAAAAAATATATATTAATTCAACGGCATGTTATTATCACAATAATATATAAAAAAAATCCTTCTCATGGTTAATGCTAAACTTAATATATATAGAACAATTTATTTAATTGAAGGTTTCATAATCATGTATACTTTTTTTTTCTTCTGAAGTGGAGGAATAATTATAAATAACATAGATGAAACTAACAGAACCAATTTTATATTTTTATATAAAGATCACATGATCTTCGTTACAAAAGATATCATATTTTATATTAAGGGCAACTCAACCTTAGACAAAGGATACATTTGTTATTGTAATTTTCTTCTATTTTTTTCTCCGTAATGGAAAACATGACTAATTTTTTATCTTCAGAATTTATTTAGAACTTTCACATTAATTGCAATACTCTAGCTAGGGTCTGAATGTTTCAATTTGTTGATTTTTTTTTAATTTCATTTATTTCTTTGTTGCCCATGATTGCCTAGAAAATAAAAATTATATCCCTTCTTTTAAAATTATTTCCTTGTACTTTATATATATATATATATATATATATATATATATATATATATATATATATATATATATAAATGATACATTTCCCATAAAAATTGTGTATTGAGAATAAAAATAAAAATTAAACTTTTCTTTTTAAATAATAATTAATAGATCATGGCATAATTTTTAATGTGTCTCAAAATGATTTCTAATAGAAAATTATTTATTGATTCCATGGTCAGCAAGATTCTTACCATTTTTATCCTTGTAATAAATTATAATAGTCTAATAAATAATATTAATTAAGTGTTTATTTTTTTTCTCTATATCAACACTAATTTACAAGTTATAAGAAAACATTGTATTAAAACACTTTTGGTTACAGAAATTTAATACAAGAGAAAGTTAGGTGAATTATAATTAGATATTTTCCTGATTGAATACTTGAAATATATAGTATTCAATTAAGAAATTTGCAACACATTTGAACTTTTTCAAACTATCATCTTTATAAAATTCATTTATAAAATCTTAATTCTATGTCATGTTATTGATGGAACAGATTCGAAAGTAGAATCTTAATCATGATCAATAATGTAGTTATGAAGTTCATGATAAAAAATGGAACAAATATTTAAATCTTCGGTTGGTGGAAGATTAACAAATGTCACAGGGATATAGTTCAAACACATATAATGAACATGTGTGTTTATACCTCTAAATATAAATATATATATATATATATATATATATATATATATATATATATATATATATATATATATATATATATATATATATATATATATATATATATATATATATGGCTTAACATATTTCTTATTAAGTTGAACTTTTTGCTTAAATTTACACGTAAACTACATGACAGATACGCGATTCTTTTTGTTTCCCATTCCAAGATCAATGTTTAGAGGAAATTTTATTCAAATTGTGCCAAACTTCAGAGGCAAAAACTGGTCTAGAAGGTAGAAACCAGTGCATGTGAGTCATGCATGATTGAGTCTTCCAAGTGTATATCTCACCGTATTGGTTTGCATTAGAGGCACTTGGTTTATGCATAACATCACTCATTATTGTTGTAAATTATAACACAATACTTCTTCCTTTTTATAAATGTGATCTTGATCTCTGCATGTCACTGCATTCCTTCCCTAGCTATTTTCCATACCTTCATCCCTCAACTTTGATACAATGAATCTATAGCCAGAAAAAGAACATGGGTTTTTCTCTTCATCATTGAATTCTCTCAGTTCATGATGTGGAAGCTAATTCAGAATGTGACTGCTTGAGTTCCAGATAAGGAACTTCCTTTTCTTCTGAAAGGATAAGGGTATCACGTGGTTTTCACTTTCTTTGTACAATTGCACTTCGTGAATAATAAGAAAGTTCAAAGCCAAAGGTAGCCTTTAAAAACAAAAGCCTTGTGAACTTTCTATATTCTTCTTTTAACGGTCAACTGATACAAACTGTATATACCTGTTCAGTCTCATTTTTGTTTGATTTTTAATTTTCCCATTCTCCCCCTATTTAGTGCTTATTAAGACTCAGGTTAATTACCGTTTACTCTCATTAACACCTTGAGACTTTTTAATAATTAAATTTAATGTCAAATTTATTGCTTTGATGTGTATTAAAAGCAAGATGTTATTTCCACCATTAATTCTCTCACAAAACTTGAATGCAGGTTGCAAAGGTTCAGTTTCTACTTGATTCCATTTTAGACCATCTCAGATGGGATACTTATCACAACCATCAGAACACTCAAACGTGAAACCAGTCTCACTTGCGAAGATGGATGAGAATGGAGAATTATGTTCTTATGCTTCCTGGCTAGTAAGCTTCAAACTTGCATTTGCATACCAATAAAATTTACATGTTCTATGCTTCGAATGGTTAAACTTATTCGAATATTCTGTAACTTACACATACATGGCCCATCTGCTAGATTTTTCAACCAATTATGCTTCGGTGTATTATGATATATCTGAATGGTTCAATAATGCTCACATTGATTTATATGGACCTTTTTGCTTGGTTCTTGTTCTTAATTATTATTACTTGTGTGGCTGAAAGGGAAAGCATCCTTCTGCTTTGGACAATTTTGATGAAGTGATGAGCATTGCTGAGGGGAAAGAGATTGTTGTGTTTTTGGACTATGATGGAACACTGTCACCGATTGTAGATGACCCTGATAAGGCTTATATGAGTGATGCTGTAAGTGCTTTGCATAGGAGAATCAACGCCACAAGAAATACTTGTGGTGGCTTTTATGATTCCTAATAAGTTCTGTACTTTAGGTTGTTCTCTTTTGCTTTCATTTTCTCAAAACTTAGTTGTCAATGGCATATGCTTTGCAATTTGCAGATGCGCGCAGCTGTACGTGAAGTTGCTTATTGTTTCCCCACTGCCATTGTTAGTGGAAGGCGCAAGGATAAGGTAATCCACTCACTTAACAGAATAGTGCACTATGCTGACATGAGACATCATCCTTATTTTGAGGATGCATTGTTTTCAGCCTTGTATTGTCAGTGCCTTTATTTTTCCTCTTGATATGCAGGTGTATGAGTTTGTGAAGTTAAAGAATGTTCGCTATGCTGGAAGTCATGGTATGGATATATCAACTCCATTAGGGTCTTCAAAATGTGAAGATCAGAAGCATCAGATAAAGGCTGTTGATGAAAAGGTTTATAATGTTTGCCTTCTGTTTGTACAATTTTGTGCCTATTATTTGGACAAAACCCACATTACAATTAAATGATGCTTGTGACAACTTGATTTCGTCACTCATGTCTCATAGTGTGTTGTTACCTTGTAGGGTAATCATGTTGTTCACTTTCATCCTGCAAAAGAATTTTTGCCAACAATCCAAGAGGTAATTCCTTTTCTGCTCAAAATGAAATAGTCACCTTCTTGTAGTTTGGCCTACCTTGCATTTAGAGTTAATATGAATAAACTTCTCAATAAATATTATAAAATAAGAAATTAAATTAAGAGTTTAATTTCAATGTCAGTTTAGAGGGTCAATTAATTAAAGAAGTAAAATAAATCAAACATTTTGCATAAATAAACTGATCAACTTATACACTTCAAACTTTTTGGAAGTTGTAACTTCTCAATAAATATTTGTAAACATTATTGAAGTTTGGCAACTGAAAGACTTTTATAAAGTATAGGCCTAGTTCTAACTGTACCTTAAATTTCTCTCTTACACAGAATTGAATATTCATATATAACTTCGTTCTGTACATGAATGTTCCTCTTATGTCATGCAGATAATTAAGGTTTTGAAAGAAAATACAAGAAGAATAAAGGGCTCTATGATTGAGGATAACATGTTCTGTGTCACTGTACACTACCGGTGTGTGAAAAATGAAGAGGTATTTAGATAAACACTTGATAGACAAATCTGATATAAAATCATGAGGCTCGTAATATAAGCTTATGCAATTGTGTTTCTTCACAAAATTATAGGATGTTAGTGCTCTCAGAGAAATGGTGGAGTCCATAATGAAACCTTACCCCAGTTTTCACATATCAAGAGGAAGAAAGGTGTACCATAATAAAAATACCATTGATGATGGATACAAAAAATGTTGGATTCTAAAACTTGACGTTGCATCCTTGATCAGGTTATGGAGATACGTCCAAATGTAAACTGGGACAAAGGACGTGCTCTTATGTATTTGCTTGACACTCTTGGGTTTGACAACTTCAACAATGTTCTTCCAATGTACCTTGGGGATGATAAAACTGATGAAGATGCTTTTAAGGTACAGTTTGATAAAACAGAAGCTTCATAAGTAGAGTTTTACACTTTAAACTTTCATAAATTAGGATAAATACTTTTATATCATCTATTAATTAGAAACTAATTCATTTATATGTGATGAAATTAATTGAATGAATGAGATTCATGCAATTTTATTTGCAATCCCTCTTTTCGGTGACTATTTTTGAGGAAAAAATATTTATCACTAATATATATATATATATATATATATATATTTTTTTTTTCTTTTTTCTTTTGAAAGATTAATTGATTAGAACAATATTTTTGTAATATTTGCTGTGAAGAACGTTACATTGAATTTGCAAACACCCATATAACAGTTATGATATGACATTTTTAATTTTAAATTAAATGATAATAAATTAATTTTATAATAAAATATTTCATGTGACAATAAGTTATTTTCTACTTATTAAAAATAAGTTATTATAATTAAACAATAATAAATTATATATATATATATATATATATATATATATATATATATATGTGTGTGTGTGTGTGTGTGTGTGTGTGTGAAAATAAGTTATTTTCTGCTCATTTGCTAATTATTGATATTATAGATTTTAAGGATTAAAAATTGTTTAACTCCCGTAAAATGCGTAAGTTAATTAATATAACGATCTTCTCTGTTCCATCTAAAATGTAAGATTGTTCATTGAATGACATTAATTGACTATTAATATATTGAATAAAATGTTAGATGAGTATTTTAAGGTATGAATTCTGATATTATGATATAATTAATGTTAACATGTATTTTCTGAAAAAGAATTAAAAAATTTGTGAAATGAATATTATTTCAAAATATTTTATGTAAACTAAAATCAAAATTCACACATTTTATAAATAATAAAAATAATTATTTAAAGTTTTATAGGGATGAAAAATAAGATAAAAAAATAATGTGAAAAGAAATAAAAACTGATTAATTTAAAAAAAAAAATTTGAGCTTAGATTTGAATATACTAAAAAATTGTTAATAATGTGGATGAAATGCATGTAGGTTATAAGAAACATTGGACGTGGTTTTCCCATTGTTGTTTCTTCAATTGCAAAGGAGACGGAGGCTTCTTATTCCCTGCGTGGCCCTTCTGATGTGCTGGCTTTCTTGATTCGTTTGGCAAAATGGAAGAAGAACCTGTCACAGAAAAGGGGCTAATTTGCTGGTTTTAAATTTGACAAATTGGCCTATTTTTCTTTTTTCAGAGGACAGAAGCAACAGGATTATACTCACAGAAAATTATTCTAAACATACAACTTTAACTTCAACTTTTTAGATTTTTGTAAATTACAACTGATTCATAGGTCAAATGTTTTTTCTTCTTCTACTCCAATATATTAATTACTCAACTTAGTAAACGAATAAGATAATAATACTAAAATGAAAATATGATCATTTCAGAGCGAGTAAAGTTAGTCTCCTCGACACGATCTTCATAAGTTTTTGAGGAGATTCACTGATCACATATGAATCTAGTTCATATTAGAAATTAATATTATTTTTAATTTTAAATATTAAGACGATGGAATATAGATTTTTATTTTATATATATATTACTTAATTTTTTATTTTTATTTAACGTGAATTTTATTTTAAATAAAATCTATGATATAGTATTAGGTAAGTGATAAATTACATTGAATATAATTTAAACATCTAATAAGTTTGATACAAAAAATGAATATTAAAAATCTTAAAAAATTAGTATCTATAGGATCTAATTGAAAAATTAAGTTTAATTATTAAAATTAATGTGTAGAGTTATTAGATACTTAATTATGCTTTACACATTATGTCAAATGCATAATATATTAAATATTTATATTTGATATAACTTAATTCTATGGTGCAATGCTATTTTAATAAATACATAACGTAAGAACAAACTAAACAACTCCTAGTAGATTAAATATTTATTTCCATGGCCTAAAAGAAAGTAAAAACCAATAATAGTTTATAAATACCATTTTTTTTTTAAGTCATTATGCTGGTAAAATAAAATGTTCAAATAATTCTTTCTTCGTAATAGACTTATTTTAATATATTCTTATATTTGAATAAATAATAAAATGTTATTTATTCAATCCCCCGATATTTATAACAATTTTATAAAAAAATTGTCGAATATAATATTTTAAGTATCAATTTACAACATTAAATTTAATGGGTGACAAAAGAACGAGAAACAAAACGCATAATTGATTTTCAGATGAAATAGTCCTATAAATATCGAAAGGAAAATAAAATTTGAATCTTATTTCATATTTATTATTTCTTACTCTGAATGTCCAGAGACTCGATCATTGAATACATTTTTTTTATTTAAATCAATTATATTAATTCCATTTTTCCACAATAATTCAATGTTTTTCTGGTGAATTTCTTTTCAGCCGAAAGCATTTCAAACTGCGACTTTATTTATTTAGAAAATTTTTTTATTTTAAATTCTGATTTTTATTATTTAAAAGGTAAATTAAAAAATAAAATCGTGTTTTAAAGTATATTCTTTTATCAAAAGTTGCTTTAAAACACATGTAAATAAAATATATTTTTTAAAATATGACTCGCCTCTTTTTATATGTTTTTCAAAAATTATACTTTTAAGTAAAAAAAAAAACAAATTATATATATATATATATATATATATATATATATATATATATATATATAAATCCTTAAACCCTAATACCTGCACAAAACCCTGTTTGGTGTGGGAGTTGTGAACGAACCCAAACTCAGTGAGAAGTCTTATCTATCTCTTTCTGTGCTGCTATGCATACGAAGCTGTTAACCCAAATCCGTCTTCTCCATCCCCTTCTTCCCATGAAGCCCCGCACTCTCCCTCTTCTCTCTCGCACCTTCTTCTTCCCTCCCTCCAAATTCCTCCGAAACGCACCGTTTAAACCTCGCGCCTTCTCCGCCCGGGCCCACGCCCGCGACAAGCCTCCCGTGCGCCCCTCCAAGAGCCTTGTCGACGACGAGGCCGAACTCAGCGACTGGGTCGACGAGTTGCGGACTGGCCGGGCCGACAAACTCACCCAGCGGTTCGGCAACGACGATGATGAAGACCGCGAATTCAGGCCGCCGCGGAGGTACGACAATAGGGCTTCCACCAATTTGGGGAAGAGGAAAGGGGAGGATTCGAGGAGGGGAAGGCAAAATGCGGGTGCAAGGAGAAAGTTTCAGCCGAAGAGTGACGACGATGAGGAAGTGGCGGAGAGGGGAAGGAAGTTCAAGGGTGGTGGCATTGGAGCGTTTCTCAGCGAAGATGAAAGTGAAGATGAGGAGAGTGATGGGAGTGAGGAGGAGGAGATATTGAACAAGAGTAGAACCGCTTTGTTTGGTCAACAGAACGGTCTGAACCGGACGACTACTGAACCGACTCCTAGACCATCTTCTCCTGGAGCTTCTGATTCTTATCTGAGTGAATCCAGGTGTGTTCATTATATGCTTAATGTTTCCATCATATTACTTAGACTATGTTTGAACAAACTTCTTCATAAACAATTTGTAGGTGAGAAAATTAAGAAGAAGAAAAATTAATGAGCTTCTAAGATTAGTTACATATATTAAAAAACAAGAAGTTAGTCCATGAGCCGACTCCTAGAAATTAGTTTATATATAAGTTAGTTTTAGCTTAAATCGAAACTCATTTTATTTTCTATTTTCTAGACGTGGAGAAACATGTTCAAACATGATCCTCTTGGTTGTTAGTTTCCTTGCTTATGTGAATATATTGAGTGTATTTGTCATTATTGCATAATACACTTGCTTGGCTAGCTGATACGACATAACTGTGGTTGGTGGTTACCTGTTTGAAAAGTGTATGTCGACTAGAGGTGACAAAGTGTAGGGTTTGAGAAATGTGACCTTTTTAGCATAATCTGATGATGTTCTGATGGGTTAATCCCTCCTACCCAAAACCAGGAAAACCCAGGGGAAACTGAGCTTCAATTTGGTGGTCCATATTGAATTTGGGATTTTTTACTTGACCTGTTATTGCTCTCAACGCATATTGGACCGAGTAGCCTGTCTTGCTATCTCTTGAATTGTGAGCCTTAAGAAGTGGAACAAAGTGAAAGAAAGGAATGAGAGGGTGTTATTGTTCAATGCATTTATTTTTCTAGATGGAATGGATACTGTATTCTGTGTGTATGTCAATAAGCAGGATTATGGAACTGTACTTACTGGGTAGTTGTTGTTCCATGCCTTCCATGCATGAATTTGGAAATTGGTTATGCATACTCTAATGGTGGGCACATGTTAATAAAGGCCGGTTGTCTTGTATTTATGGAGGAGGTTAGGAATGTAATTAATATAAAGAGAAAGGTGAGCCTTTTGCTTGTATATTTGTGATGTTTTCCTTACGTACTCTGGCATATATTTGAATCTTATTATGTTGTGCTGCTATTGTGGCATGAATGTCTGATTTTTGAGGTTTGATATCACAGATTTGACGAATGTTCAGTCTCCCCACTATCACTAAAAGGAGTCAAGGATGCTGGATATGAGAAAATGACGGTTGTGCAGGAGGCTACACTTCCAGTGATTCTCAAAGGTTTGTCTTTTTTGCTTGGTCATGGAGGATGGAACAACATGCACGGATATGATACGAGTATAAGATACATTTAGTATTCGATCCGACAATACATTTATTATAAAAAAAGTAGGATACGGTATGTATAAGATACCTATTTAAAAAAAATTCATGAAACATAATTATAAAGTTACAATCATGCAAATCCAAATTTCAAATCCCATTTCTTAGAAATTGTGAAAATAAAAAATATAAATAATTATTATTATAAAACATTTTCTGGTATTTACATATAGGAATAAAATTATCATTTTCATTTATTTCTTAATACTCATAAGAACAATTTTTTTCCTTTGGTTTATGAAAAATAATATTTATATGTTTCTATTTTATAGATACATATATGTTTCTTAAACATTTATTAAATATAAATATCGGATACGGATACGTTAAACAAATTGAAGTATTGGTGCTTTAAGATGAAGAAGAAAACAATTTTAAGTTATAATGTTTTTTCTGGTTCTATTTTGCCTGTTTGTAAGCGATGTCATGTCATATGATTCCATCAAACACTGTCACTTTTTCTTCACTTCCTTTTGCTAACCTTTTTGTGCGATGGTTATAATTTTTGCTGCACGTATCATACTATGTTAAGAATCCGTATTTAAAATATTGGTTATCCCTTATTGATAATATTATACCAGAAAGGAATTTATTCCAGCTTTAGTTCTCATTGTTCTCATGTTTTTTTGAGTTTATTTATTTTGGTGCCACTTATTCCAATTAACATTTTTAGGTAAGGATGTCCTTGCCAAGGCCAAGACAGGCACTGGGAAAACAGTAGCATTTTTGGTGAGTCTCTTGATTTGTGTTTGCCAGAGTAAATTGGTGGTTTATTGCCACTTATTATTGGGATGCTTCTTCATATTCCATTGTGGGTGGCGATTAATGTAATGAACAGTTGATACGTAGGATACATTTAACATAAGCATACTACTTCTTTGGACCACGCTACGTAATTTATTGGGCTTCAAAATCAGATTTGTTTATTTTATCATGGCAATTAGGCATTCTTGTTTCTGTTTTCTTTTCAAAATTTTTTAGGCATGGAGGCTGATATAACCTTTTTTGAAATAGTCTGCATTGGGAGTATTAAATAAAGTTCTATGTTGATTAACAAATACCTTTAAAGATTATAAAATACTGATTAAAAATGTTTAACAAAAGAAGAGACAAAAAGGTCTACGTGAGCCTCAATTTAATAGCAAAAATTATTGAGCTGGAAACTAATTTATTGTTTTACTTCACCTGTAGTAACAGATGAATAGTAGTTTTGACTGTACTTATTTTTTAAGTTTTTTTATTCAGCTTCCATCTATTGAAGTTGTGGTGAAGTCACCTCCAACTGATGGTGATCATAGGAGGCCACCAATTTTTGTGCTTGTCATATGCCCAACTCGAGAGCTTGCAAGTCAGGCTGCAGCAGAGGCCAATAAACTGCTGAAGTATCATCCTACCATTGGTGTTCAAGTTGTGATTGGAGGCACTAGGCTTGCTTTAGAACAAAAACGAATGCAAGCAAACCCTTGCCAGGTATACTCTTTTCTCATTGCCACCAAAGTTTATGATATGTATTTATTAGTTATTGTATGCCTCCATGAGAGCCACAAGCAAATAAATGAAAATATTTTGAATTGTCTCTATGATATTAAACAGTTTTGTCCATCAGAAATTGTGGGATTTTTTTTTTCCAACTATTCATCTTAGATTAGAACTTATTTTTATCATCATCAATAAGTGTTTTAATTTAATTTGATTTAACGCTTTCTATTTATTATTTATTTACATCCTCATCCTCATATAGCCAACTACTAACTAGTTTTCCAGACTTTGTTGATCGAATATTGAGTTGATAAGACCACATGTTCTGTTCACACACGTTTTTAACTTGCATTGCATGCTCTGTACAGATCCTTGTTGCTACTCCTGGAAGGCTTAGAGATCATATTGAGAATACTGCTGGTTTTGCAACTAGGCTGATGGGTGTGAAGGTTTTGGTGCTTGATGAAGCTGATCATTTACTTGACATGGGATTTCGCAAAGACATAGAGAAGATAATTGCTGCAGTCCCAAAACAACGACAGACTCTAATGTTTTCTGCCACAGTTCCAGAAGAGGTATTTCTTTTTTTTTTACCTTTTTATTTTATGATTGAGTGTTTCTTGTTTAAAAAAGATAGAGGTACTATGCTTATTCTGGTATTATTATTGTAAAGGTGCGTCAAGTTTGCCATATTGCTTTGAGAAGAGATCATGAATTTATAAACACAGTTCAAGAGGGTACTGAGGAGACCCATTCACAGGTAATTGTTTATAATTCACACTAATAACTAATAATGTACGTGCATGTGAGGCAATGAATGTGCTTTTGCTTGTACCAGCACATAATGCCTTTTTATGATATTTATTTATGGAGTTTTGAGTCATTTCAGGTCCGCCAGATGCATTTAGTTGCCCCATTGGACAAGCATTTTCCTTTCCTATATGTTCTTCTCAAGGACCACATTGCAGATGATGTTGATTACAAGGTATGTTTTCTAACCTACACCTTTTTTAACTTCGGCTTCAACATATAACATGATTAACAAACAAGTAAATCATATTTTTTTATTGCTCTATTGCTTGTTAAATTCTAAATATGTGATTTTGACAACAAAAGATTTTACCTTTTCAATGACATCTTGCATATTTTATCAAGATATGTAATTGAGCTATTGGTTCATCAGGTTCTTGTTTTCTGCACAACTGCTATGGTCACTAGACTTGTAGCTGAACTTCTTGGTGAGTTGAACTTGAATGTGAGAGAAATCCATTCACGAAAGCCTCAGAGTTATAGAACCAGAGTCTCTGAGGAATTTCGTAAGTCAAAGGGTCTCATCTTGGTTACTTCGGATGTATCTGCACGCGGAGTTGACTATCCAGATGTCACTCTTGTTATACAGGTAATAGATACAGAACATTGCATCATTACATAATTGCACTGCATCTTGGCTGCCTGCAATACACACATTGTTAGTGTCATTTCTCTGACAATTGTAGCTCTCAGTCCTTGCAAACCATGCTAACAGGCATCCTAGAATGCTTTATATGGATTATATTTTATGTGTTTTACCTTTGGAAATATTTGAAAGTAATGCTCAATACATTATACATTTGCTGAAAGTAACTACTTGTTGGCAATGGAGCGAAGTTCAGGCTATATGATGAAGATTAATTATTTTATTCCCTGTTACCTCCATTTGTCAAATGGACAGGTTGGTTTGCCAGCAGATAGAGAACAGTATATACATCGACTGGGTAGAACAGGGCGAAGAGGGAAAGAAGGGCAGGGCATACTGCTACTGGCTCCTTGGGAAGAGTTCTTTTTATCTACCGTAAAAGATTTGCCTATTGAGAAAGCTCCCGTGCTGCCTTCAGTTGATCCTGATACTAAGAAAAAGGTATTACTTGGATATTCAGTGGAGACAATTTTTTAGATCAAAACCTTATTTTAGATTTTTAGTCCCTTAGATGGTAAGCGCTTGTCATTTCAGTTCCTAACTTAATAAAATCTTCACTTCAGTCTCCAATTTTAGGTGTTGTGTACACTTTAGTCCTTTTCTACTATCTCTTCACCTTTGCTCATTTGATGGTTAGCGCTTTGTCATTTTAGTTCTAACTTTATAAAATCTTCACTTTATTCTCCGATTTTGCTAAGTTTTGTTCACTTTATCATTGACAAGGACTAAAATGAATGTCTTGTTGTAAAATAACTGTTAGAATTAGTGTGCAAGCCTTTGTTCAGGAGTGTAGGAGTGTTAGAGGTCCTAGTTTGAGTGATCTGTTTGTCCAAAACTATCTTGACACTTTCAACTCATGACTCTTGCTTGAACCCTTTAACTTGTTTTCACCCGCTAATGTGAGGATTGTTATCCTACACTACCCATCAAGTGACATGGCCTTGTATCTTAGGGGACTAAAGTTTGAGTTCATTTGTTTCTTTTTTTCTATATCATGTTTTGGCATGTTTATAGACCAATCAATTTGGAGCTATACCAACATTTTGTTTACAGGTACAAAAAGCTCTATCCCATGTAGAAATGAAGAACAAAGAAGCAGCATATCAGGCATGGCTTGGTTACTACAATTCGAACAAGAAAGTGGGGCGTGACAAGTATAGGCTAGTGGAGCTTGCAAACGAGTTTAGTCGAAGCATGGGGCTTGACAACCCTCCAGCTATTCCTAAGCTAGTCCTCGGTAAGATGGGCCTCAGGAATATCCCTGGTTTACGTGCCAAATAGATTATTCATTCAATTCAATTTCTGACAAGTCATGTGAAATATGTATTGTTTTCTAGTTAAAATGCTCATTCATAGTTAATTGTAAGACTGGAGACATCAAAATTTCAATTATATATCCATCGTCCATTTTGTGTTTATCTTGGTTATTGAGGTTCTGAATTAATTATATCATGCAACATACCGAAATACAGCAGCATCTATAGGTTCGTGCATGATTTCACAATATAGCTATTTGAAAGAGCTCAATATGTTCGATCAATGTAAGGTTTAATATTGACTCGTTAAACTCGATCAATGTGGTTTAAATTAAGAAACTGAAGTTAAATTTTGTTTTCAGATTGAATTTAAGCTTAACAAAACTTGAACTGAACTCCACTCCGATGTAACTTTAATGATGTCTTGATTCTTTCTTTGGTCCTTATTTAAAACCATTCACAATTTCAATACTTAATATCTTATTAATTCTCGAAAATACACTATCCTCTTATTAAATGAATCAAACCCTGGTTGAACATTAGGGAGAAGAGATACCATTTTGCAAGAGGTATATGGGATGAGTTATTTTGTAGTTTGGTTTATATTTATAGGAAATATTTGTATGTTGTTAGATTAAAATATTAGATGAATACTCGTTATTGTTTAACAAGACAAATTGTGTTTTATTTTAAAACTTTAATTTTTCTTTCTCATTTATTTTATTTTTTCAGTGCAGACAACTTAAAATGGTACTTATTTTGTTATGTTCTAATTTATCTGTTTTTTTTGTCACTTCTTACATCCAAAAAATACAGAAACATACCACTAACCAAATAGAACTTTGGAGTTTGACTACTGTAAATTCTTTTTATGTCTAGATATTTGGTTAAGCTTATCTATATTTAATTTATATGGAAGCTTATTTATATTCTCAAATAGTTAATTCTATATATTTTGGCTGCAATAATTTTCAGAAAAATTGTAATTATTTTTTAACCTAAATTAATTTAAAAGTGAATCATGTATATAGACAAAATACATATTTTATATTTATTTTAAATGTGTTCAAATGTACTTTTCTAGGAATTGAATAATAAAAATTGGCATGTTAACGTTTTGGCTGTTTTGTTTAAAGATTGTTTTGATATATTATCTAAATTTTGAATAAAGTTTTTTCTCTTTAAAAAAAAAACTTAATTTCATCAGTCTGAAAATATGAAACTTGCAAGTAATTCCAAACATTTTTTTTCTTACAATATCTTTCCCCAAATTTCTCTCCAACTTCCAAGTTTTCTTTTTCAGTTAATTTATCTCGCATCTTCATATTTTGTTTTAATTTACAATATAATTTTTAATTATATTCAATAAAATTTATGTATTTTTAACGAAAAACTATTTCTGATTATGACTAATTATACTTATAATCAATTATTAAAATAACCTACCTTTTAAGATTAATAAACACTTTTTTTTTTAAATCTAATCACTTCTCAAATTTAATATGTAAATGAAAGATTCACTTCCAAACTTTTATACATTCTTTTTACTCAATTACCTTTTAAAAAATATTTTTTATTATCCATCTTTCGAATTATTATATATTCATTTAAGACTTATAATATTATTGTAGAAATATACATAAATTTTTTTTAAAATATTAAAACTTTTAAATAATAATTTATTATTGGAAATAAGTCTTATCTTATCTTAATATTCATAAATTATTCTAGGTATTGGTAATTGATTTTATATTAAAATCTGAATATAATATTAAAATCAAAATATCGTATTATTTAAATATTCATCAATTACTTGTTAATTAGTTTTATATAATATTAAAATCAAAGTAAAAATATCATTTTTCTTATCATAAAAATATCTTACTATATTTTATTAAAAAATTAAACATCAATTAAATACTTAAAAAATCATTTATAACAATTGAAAATTAAATAATCATTTTAATACAAAAATGAGGACAACTTATAATCATTAAATTTTACAATTTTATCGTCATTATTTAAATAAAATACTTTTCTTGAAAAGAAAAAAAAACTATACGAATCGATATGTGACAGAGTAAACGCGCACAACTTTCAAAATTTGTCTCAAATATATAATATGAACAAAATAAGTAAATTGACAAAAGATTCCCTAGCTTCAACATAATTTCCATTTAACAAAATATTGAAAAATCTGTAATAACATTTACCCTATGAATTCTCATCAATTCTTAAAAACCAATAACATTTATAGACACTTTTTGAGGAAGACACAAGCAAATGACATCTAATATTCATCATAATTTTATTGCTATAACACTGTTCAAAAGTTCAACAAAGATATTCTGCATGATCTAAAACAGTACCCAACTACATTGTATAAAAGAGAATCTGAATATTCTATAACATGGTAATATTCCTAAGAACCTAGGACACTTTTCTAATATATGTTGGGTTACAAATGTGTCTAAACTTTTCAATAAAGTCTAATAATCACCAAGCGATCCATCCATCCATTCTCTTTTCTTTTGGTAGACTGGGAGGAGAGTCCTGCATCCTCTTTGTCACCACGTTTCATCCTCAAAACATGGTCTTGGATGGACAGACTTTAACCAAAGTTGGTTAATCACCTACAAGTGTACATGCAAGAGTCTGGGCACAAACAAGAGACCTAGATTATTTTTTCCTTTGAAGAACAGTAATGCCACGAAATGGACATAGTATTCACCAGTTACATGCCCTGCCCGGTCCTGGTACAAAAAGGAGGAACATCCTCCTCTTTCAACTGTTAACTCCTCCTGATCATCAATCTGACAGTAGAATCAGGGGGCCCTGTTGAAAACCATAAAATTAAGAGATAATGAAACAATCCAAGTGAACAACGATGAGCTTAAAATCTATAAACCAACAGTGTAGAGGATTTTTACACTGTCAACTGATTAGAAATTATCATGTATATTGTCATTTGTTGACTTTAACAATAATTATGTCAATGAAAATGGTTTTCAGATGGTCAAGTCCAATAAAATATCATGTTAGGAATTACTTGTAAGGTAATTATTGTTAAAGTCGACTAAATAAGATGCTTGATTAATGAATCAAGGGACAATTAAAAGCAGATAACTACCTTGAAACATGAGGTGAGGACGGTTGATCTGGTGAAGATCGTTGGGTGTGACCACCACGAAACCTTTGCTCTTCATGTGCTCCACTAGATTGACTTCCCTCGTTTGCCTGTGACAGTTCATTGACACCTGAAAACCCCATTGGTCCCAGAGTCCCAAACTCAAGCTGCTCCGCAGGTGACCCGTATCCGGAATTATGATCAAAAGGATAAAACATTACAACAGATTGCATTGGACCATTTGATGAGACTCCACTAGGGTTCATGGCCGGTATAGGATACATTCCATAAGTTACACTGGAAGAATTACTCTGTGAGGAATTTGAGCGGACTGGACCATTCTGGTGAGGAATGAAGGTGTCATGCCTGTGTGAACCCCATGGTCTCTCAGCACGGCTCTCACTGGTAGACAACCTCTCTGGTTTTGAGTTGGACTTCTCCGTCTGGTTGCGATTATGGCTTCGACCAGTTCCTCGCAATTTTGAGTTAGTATTCCAATTCCCTTCTCTATCACCATGATGGTCACTTCTATCATAATTGTAACTTCCCCTTCTGGTATTTGTGGAATGTCGATCCCGAGCAGACACCTTCTGAAATAAATTGAAAATAAAGGTAAAATGCTATAAAGAAAATGGCAGAACCAAAAAGGTATACTGACAAGATTTTGAAGTGAAAACACTTATTATTTTGGTATATGCACACATGTAGCGAAGAAACAGTACTGCAGGAAAAGTACAAAGCTCCTTAGAATTTATCATACCGGATTTGGCAAGTAGGTTCCAGTTCCACTTCTATACCGTGGCATATCATCTACATAACGTTGGTAAAAATTGGTAGGTCTATTAGAAACTGATTGGAGAGGAGTAACAGGAACCAGACGTGGCCCATAGCTCATAAGCTGACTAAAAATATTCATGTTACCGGATATAGGTCTTCCAGGACCATCCCATGGATATCGACCCTGCAAATAAACAGGAGGCACCATAACAGGTGAAGGATAGATCATTGAAGGTGGTTGACGTGAGTTTTGACAAAATCGGCCATATTGCAAATTTTGCCAGTGACTAACAAAGTCACTATTAAGAATGTCAGGCTTGTGCTCTGATGACTCAATAGCCACCCTCGTCATTGAATTGGAAGGACTTGACACCTCAGGGTGTTCATATCCCTCGGATGAATCAAAATTTGGACTTGAATCACTGTTATCTGCCCCTTCTTCGGCATTGAAGTTGTTTGTTGAAGTGTCAGAAGACTCAGTTGGAAAATTATATAAAGGAAGCATTGTAACAAAGGGAACAGGTGGTCCAGTAGGATAGAATGTAAATGGAAGAACCCCAGAATTATCAGCTGCTCTTTGGCGAGAACCAGGACCTATAAGCACTGGGGGGATGGGTAATGGAGAATCTGATCCACTAGTTTGAGCAGTTTCAAAACTAGATATTTGATTCCTTGGAGCATGCAAGGAAGTACCAGATGCGGTCCAAGTGTTTCTTTCTGACATATCAGATGCCATGGTCGACAAAGCAGTCCAATCTTTGTTTTCATCATCTACTCGGTTAGATGAAATTTCTGAAACATTCTTACCCTTCCCATACACAGGATTTTGAGATGGCATTGAGGGAGTATTTTTCCTCCCCCTTCTCTCCCTTGTTGATTTTGAGGATTTCACTGATGATCCATCCCAAGAGCTTTCAGAAGGGGTCCTACTCCTGAAGGAGCTTGAAGGAGGTGCGCTGGATAACTCTGAAATTGCTGTTCTATCATCAAAATAAACCTCATTTCTTCGGCCATCTTGAAAATGAAAATTGTCAATATGCTCTTCTCTGGTCAAACCTAGGTTTTCTTTAGCAAACTTCTGCTGAACTCCAGCAGAACTGTTGCTGTTGGAGCTGCCTACCCGAGATAACAGGGCAGAGTTATAACTACCTGAGGTAGACTGTTGCCTATCCTCTGGGAGCATTTCAAAATTTCCATTATCAATTTCAACCTCACTTGCAGAACCCCTTTCCTGTTCATGCCAGTAATCATTATCAGCTTCTCCTATGGTAGCCTCAACAGAATTGAAACTCTCATTGTTAGTTTCAAGTAATTCTTGAGGACTAGAGGTCATTCCTATGCCAGGGAAATATGGAGTCAATGGTGGGATGAAACCTTGAGGAAATTGCATATTTGTACCCCAAGGAGACTCGATAAAGGGAATGTTACCCATGTTTCTCTGAGTATATCCCATTGATGCAAGAATAGAAGGTGGAAAAGGAAATGGTAGGTGGCCAGGCGTAATATTCATTGGAACATGAGTCTGACCACTGAAACCCTGAGCTGTGGGAGATGCCATCATATTCAAAAGGTCCTGCTCCTCCTGATGCATCATATGCATTCCACCTGCACCAGAAACAGATGCAAACTCTTCACCCATGATACCTGAGCTTGATTCATCATGATTACTGTTTGAATCAGTAGCATTGTCAAGAACTTTACGAGATGAGATGTGCCTCGCAGATGACTCATCCATTCTTACAGCTACATCAGGTTCAACATTCTTCCTTCTACTATTCTCCAACTTCGCGGAGGAAGCCTGGCCTTTACTAGTTTCTGTTGCTTTTGCACGTCTCCCTTGGATTGAAACATCACCATATGAGTCTGTCAGCTCAGGGCTAGAACGTGTCCTGGCAAACAGAAACCTTCCCTGAACATCACTCACTAGGTTATCAGCTTTAACATTTCTCTGACCTTTATCAAAATGAACACCTTGATTAGAATTAGTTTCCCTCTGAACATGATCAAAGGTCCTTGAATTATTTTGGCTTCCATAACTCTTTTGATTCTGAGTATGTGACACAATAGAAACAACACTTCTAGATGTCTTTTGAGATAATAAATTACTATACTGAGATATAACACTCTGTGAAACATGTTCCCCTTCATTAGATTCATGATTGGAGGCATTATCAATTTTATGGTTATTGATCCGGAGATTCTCCGACCTCTGTAATTGGTCATGACTGGATAAACTCAAACGCTGTAAGTCAATGCTTGGAACATCAGGCCTTTCCCCACTTCCATGTCTGTCCCAAGTGTTAAAAAAGAACTGATTCACCTCAGAAAACAATTCTTCCTCTGGGCAATCAAGTAACCTAGCCAGCCTTTTTGCCCCAAATGCAAAGGCACTGCGTATCCTAAAGAAATTACCTGGTTCACATGTACAGCATATGCAAATTTAGCTAAAAGACAAAGATAACAAATAGTTAAGGGGAACTACTAGAAAACAAATATAATGTACATTTAACTACAGCAGAACCAGGATGCATAAAATTTGCCACATCATTGTTGGTTACATTTAGATAAACATAATGAAGGTTCATGTTCAATTCTAAAATCCAAATGTGTACCAAAATTATTGGAAGCTTCAAGCAAATACAGCACTTACAGTATGCCCAGATTTCTATTTTCAATATATGGGAATAAAGAAACCATGATAACGACTCCCTAGGATTATAGAAGTAAACTATCATGGACATTAGAGAAACATTGCTGGTCATTATGAAAATCATAAGACATGTGTAAAATCTGCTTCAGTTTTATGCAATTTTAATTACACATTTACTGCATAAATTATACATGATGGGGAAAACAAGAAAAAGGTAAGGAGTCTGCACGATATCAGGAAAGACAACAAGAAAAAGGCAAGGATACTGCACTATATCAGGAGAGACATTCATGTTTATCCATAGAGAGGGACCATAGTCCACCATTCCATGCGTCTTAATTCTTCCAACTTTACAAAGTTCATTAAGTGAATATATTGTAGCATTAAAAACTAGCAGCAGGGAAAGATCCATACAAAATGAACTTGGTCAAAATTAATCAGACAAATAGTTACAGATGAATGATATGAGCCAAACCCAAATTTCTAGAAACCAACACACCTTTGCTGACACTACGACCAAGGTTATTGTTGACCCGCAAAGGATCAATAACATTGAAATGCTTGGAAACAAACGGTTGCCCCTGATTTTCTTGACCACCAGGGAAAACAGCATAAACTGAGCTACAGGCATCGAGAAATAACTTGCTAAGCAGTAAATCTCCACTATCCTTTCGAGGAGGTTCGGCTGTGGATAATGTTAGAGAAGGAATAAGAAAAACAATTAATACAGAAAACAAACCTAAATCGATACAAAGGGATCTTTAACTAGTATGCAGCTACCTGTCACATCTGGGAGTGAACTAATAGGTACTGGACCCCATAGACTTACACAGAAATTATCCCAGTCAAACTTACTAAAAAATTCCAAAAATCGATACAACACCTACATAATGAAAATACCGCATCAAATCAACCATCAAAAATGCTAAAATAAAAGAAAGAAATGTAATTTCTGTTACCTCAAGTGGTCCAGCAAAAGAATTGTTGAAAACATGAAATATATAAAGAACCAAGGTTTCTAAGGCATAAGTTGAGATAAGCCCATGGTGAGCACCAAGTATGCGGCTTTCATAGTAACACCAAGCTTTTATCAGGATAATGCTACGCTTGAATAAATGATTTTGATTAATCAGATTATCGACCTACAACAACAAACTCATTCTTGTAAATCCAAGAGAAAAATAGCATTGATATCACATTTTCAAATGATATATAGTTAAGCTTCGGAGATGCACCAAATTACCTCCTCAAGAAAACAAAGGGTGCACAACCCTCCAAGCTGGTTAAATGAAATGTCTACTACAATATTCTCCACAAGACACTTTATAATTTTCACCTGAAAATAAAGGGCACAAAAAAAAAATGTTTCCTCAAAATCTAAAGCAACACAAATAGCAAGTAAATTGTCATTTTGAATTTTAAGTATTTAAAAATGCCTAACCATCCATACTTCACAATAAATTTAACGTATACAAAGTGAATTCAACAATTACTAGTATAAGATAAGTGTTTCTCAAGAAAGCAATCTATCTCTTTGTTATACATAATCAATCATCTATAACCTTCAGCTTTTGAAACAATCTCAAATAAACAATTATAAGAAATTCATATGCCTTGGTAATGGTTAACATACACTTTCCTTACCCTCAAAATAAAGCAATGATTCATTACAGGAATATGCCTTAAATCTTGTAACTATGGTTATTGTAGTACCATAATTAGGCCTAGTGTCCTAATACCTTAAGCTTTTGTAACCATCTCACAATTAAGAGTGTCAAAGTGAGCCAACCAGACTCACATGAGTTGCCCCATGGGTTTCATTAATAATGGGTCAGCTAAGAAAAATTAGAATATTAAATATTGGCAAAAATGGATCAACCCACCACCAACCTAGCTCAAACCCACTTAACCTATGGGTTATACAAGCTCAACTCATTTAGCCCATGGATTAAACGATCCCAACTCGATTTAAGCCATAATTGAAAATCTTCGAATTTTTTCAACTCAACCCGGTTCAAACCTATGGTGAGCCTCTGGGTTGGCTGATGGGTTGTAACCATATTGACACCTCTACCGACAACCACTTTAAAAGTCCCCTCACACTCACATGAACTACTGCTCTAGTGGTGTGTATGAGAAAGTGGGGTGTCAATAACTATATGCAAATCACCACAAAGGTTTTCTCCTTGGAGAATGTGAATGCAGAGTAGCGCAGGACTTCATATTTAAAATAAATCTAAGAAAAAAAATTCAAACTTAAGCATGACACAAAGTTCTCAACCAAATTGAAAAAGCAACTAATATTGACAAACTATGTGATTAATCACAGCACAGAATGACGAAAAAAGTTCAACAATTCTAAAGATTTTCTGTATTAGAACCTACTTCAGCCTGTATGTATTGAACCTCCTTAACATGAAACTCGGCATTCTCATTCTTCTCCTCATTCTCCAGCATGTCACGAACCTGATGTGCCCATGTCTCCTTCAGATTTTGATTCTTACTGAATGCTGTTAAGTCAATATCTCCATCAGGCAAATAAGTTTTAAGGGGAACCGAACCAAAGGTGAACACCTGTAATAATAAACAATTATTTACATAATAATACGTTAGTACACCTTCAAGTTAACATCAATAATATTACTGATGCTCTTCATGATGAATCAAACAAAGCAATGATGCCAAATACCCATCAATCACCACATTAAAATTTAAAAATGAATGGATTCTCTAAGTGGGAGAATATACTTTCACTACTAAAACAAAACAAAGATTTCTATAACCACAAATTAGGATTTCTGACCAAGCAACACTCCATTTAAAGACTTACAACAGCATGATAGTACTATTAAGCACTTCCGTGATCCAATAGTGATATCAAGATCGGTCATAACAAGCTTTGGTAACTAAAATATCATAGTATAGTTATAGCTAAAACAATGGATGACTCACTACTAATCATAAGCTATTATGCAACAAAGAAACCATAAAACACCAACCTGGCAAGGGAAGCACTTCATGATCAGCCGTTGGACATAGTCGGCAACTGCATTCCGGCGCTCTTCAGAGGGGAGATTAGGCTGAATGCAGGCAATCAGCTCTGCAGTCCTTTGCTCAGCTTTCAACCACCGCTCCGAGTCAAGCACCTGTATCACGGAGGCAGCTTCATTGGGCAACAAACCATTTGGTAATAGCCCACTAGGTGGCTGTGCCCACCCTTCATGTTCACCCATGCAAGCCTATGTTTCAATAATACCTACCAACCCAAACCAACACGCCGCCACCACCACCACCACTACAGTTCCTTCTAGATAACCCCAAAACAACTAATATTCAAACTCACAAAAACCCAATAAAGCTTGCGGCGATAGATATTATCTCAGGGTCCTCCCACAGACTTTGGAAGGGGAAACTTTTTCCCCTTGCACAGCAAACTAACAAGACAGAACTTGATACCCTCAGCAGTACAAAAATATAAAGTAGTAAAAAAAGGAAAAAAAAACAGTGAAATTCACCAAAACCAATTCTGGGTATTACCCAAAAATAACACAGACAGATGGAAAGGCACAATTTCAGCGAACCCCACTGAGCACCAAATGAATCCCCAAAAGTTAACAAAACCAAATTTTGCAAAATACCCAAATGAATCAAACAATAGGAGAGTTACTTGTTGTAACAAGAGAAGTGCCTAGATGATTAAAACCCTAACGAAAAAAGGCGAATCCCAACACAGTGGAAGTGTAAGGGCGAATCAATAGCGTAGTGGGCAAACACAGAAATGCGTATAAGCGATGGTTTGCATCAGATATTGGAGGGGGAAAAGTAGGGGTGCGATCAAAAAACGGGCCTTGGTGCAGATAGAGAAATGGGTGCAAAACGAGGAGAGGTTGTTGTGTGTGAAATATGAATGATGAATATTAGGGATTGAAGAAGTAGGCTACAAAAGGGGTTCGGCGTTGAGAGAGAAGAGTGTTGGCGTTGTGAATGTGTGCATTTAAGGGGTTTTTCTTTTTCTTTTTCTTTTTGGTTTTGGTTTTTGTATTGCAAAAAATTATTGGCAAACTGAGCCTGTGAGGTTGATAATAGAATCTTGTGAGATAGACAAGGAAAAAAAGAAGCACAGAGAAAAGGGGAAAAGGAAATAAATAAATAAAATTATTCAGTTTTTCATTCCATATTTTCAATAATTTGCACCATATTCCTTTTTATCTAAATGAGAATTGTTTTTTTAACCTGAAAACAATGTTGTCGTGTTGTGAGGTCACCAGACCTGTTAGCAAAAGCCTAGCCCATCTTTCTATGAAATCTGGACATCTGTTTTGTGTTTTGGGCTGCTGGGTCATGAGATAGTTTAAAGTTGTCAAAAACCTATTCTTGGTTCATGAGATTTTAATTTGATAAATCTTAATTTACAATGTCTTTACAAACTCATTGTCCAGAAGAAATTAAGTTTGGGATGTGAAGGTTTTATATTGTAATTATCAATTATCAGTTTTTGAAAATTGCATCCAAAGCATGGAATACTTCATTGCTATTCTTAGATAGTTTAAAAAGTTGATGCCAATTTATTTTGACAAATTTTAATTTAAATTGACTGAAAAAAATTACAGGAATAATATCTTTATTTTAGTATTAGTGTTAATTATTGATTTAATTATATAATTATTTAAAATGGAAATAATTAATAAATTTTGCAGATAAAAAACAATTAGAACAATTTAAAAAAAGAAGGAAAGAATTTGTTTCTTTTTAATTAAGTGCATGTATTTTCAATTGGAGTTGCTACCAATAATTATTGATTGTGTCATAAAGATCTTTATGTCCACGCTCCAATCTACTCCGGAGGAGCATGTACTTCTAAAAGAATTTTTATACTTTAACCAATCCCGAAGTTAGTTCTATATATATGTTCAGCAACTAGAAAAAAAAATAACCAAATGATGATGTGAGTCAACCATAAACTTTGAGTTTGTGGATGAAATCCCTCGAGAAGCGTTAGAATAGCAATTACTGCTCCTTGAGGGGTACCACATATATGATTATTTGAATCAGGATTTTGAGCATACTTATGAATAAAAGTGAATATTTTATTATAGATTTTATATGTAATATGTTTAAAAGTGGAAAAAGTTGTTTAAAATTAAAAGAAAATGTTAAATAAGCAATTCTGAACATATTTTAAGTAATTCGACAATGGGATCCATAATAAAATATTCAATTTTATTTCTAAGCAACTCTAATTAAAAAAATTTTAAAAAAATGCCTAAAATGCCTTAAAGTAAAATTTTAAATTTATGTTATGGTAGCTTAAGGTTTTACATTGTTTGTTTTAATTATTCAGTATAATTTATAAGTTGATAGTTAGTTTTAAGTTGAAATCTAATATAGTAATCTTTTTAGACATGATTTATTATATTAGACATTTTATGAAGAGCACCTTGATTCATCTTAATAATTGTTTATTATAGTATCCATTTTGTTAATTAGAATTCTAAGGTGAATCTTATCAATTTATATATTTTTAAACAACTTCACTTAAAAAAAAAAATTACTATTACAAATGAATGAACGAATCATTAAACAATTTGGTCTTTGACTAATATATCTTTAAAAAACATATTTAACATATAATTAATAAATCTAACAAATTATGAATTAGAGTGTTTTAAGATACATATATTTCATATAAACTTTACATGCAATTCAAACTAAATATATTATCCACCAATTAAACTAAAAGATATTATCCACCATTTTGCTAAACAAATGTGACAAATGATCGAATGTAAGTTTAAAATTTATTTATACAGAGGGAAAAAATACAATAACTATTAAATAATACATGTGATTTGTCTTGTGACATGTTTATTTCAATCTCGTATATTTTATCTTTTTTTTATTATTAACTATCTTATAAGCTATTTTGCCAACACTCTTAGATTAATTCTTTCATTGAACATATTTTATGTCAAAATGTTTTTTGTTTTATATTTAAAAGTATTAATTTATTAAATTTAATTTATCTCACTTACATCTTTAAATCCTAAATCATTATTTTCACCCAACTTATCAGATTTGAAAAACATTGATCCATGAAATGACTGACATTTAAAAAAAAAACATACAAAAGATTTTGAAATGAAAATTGGAATATTAATTCTGTTAAGGGTCTTTTTTTCAACAAAGAAAAAAGACAATTTGAACATGTTCAAATGTATATATTAATTAGTATGAGATTATTTTAATTTAATTAGTAATTATAAATAAAATTTAAATATACAGTTACCTTCAATACTTTAAAAAAATTATCTTTTATGTAACTACCATACCATAGAATATATATATATATATATATATATATATATATATATATATATATATATATATATATATATATATATATATATATATATATATATATATATATATATATATAAAGATAGCTTGGACTCCCTTGCATTATTGTTCATCCTATAAAATGAACTTATTTTTATTTTTCTCATTTTTAATTTTTGTCAAATACCTCTTGCTTTTTTTTTTTTTAATTTACTTTGTCTTCTTCGTATTTTAAGTCCTGCTAGATAGAGTGTAGCACATGGTTCTTAGTTTTTTATTATTTTTACTTGGTTTATTTATTTTCCTTGCTGAAAAGACAAAATTAGAAAGAAGTAAAATAACATTGAAAAGGTGACAATATAGTGTTATGTTAACCATCATTACTCAAACAGAAAAGACCTACCTCAATGAATGATTGTGGACATATTCACGAAAGAAAGAAAAATAACAAATTTATAAAATAAAATTATAATATTACTTAGTTTATATTTTAATTTTACATAATTAAATGATGATACTTACATATTTCCTATTTTTCTCTAGGTATATTTTAGATTATATAAATATGTGTTTGTTTAAGAGAAAATGAATTAAGAATATAAATGATTTTATCTTTTTCATTTCTAAAAGTTTTTAGGTATTTTATGTAGTTTATGTATTTATTTTGTATTAACAAAAGTTGGACTACCTATTCTCAAAGGAATTATGACACTAACATATTTTATCAACTACTTATAAAATAACTCATAATTAAGAATTTTTTATACACAAAAGTTCATGCAAAAAAATAATTTAAGTTAATTATTATAAAAAAAAACAAAAATTAGTGTTTCACAAAATTTATTCACCCAGTCATTATTTTTTATCAAAACATTGAGTGTGCAGTAGGAAATGGTACATTAAATACAAACACCGGAAAAACAAAGTTTTCATTAAAAAAATTATTAATGTAGATTTATTGTGATTTTTCATGTAAACTATAATAAAAATTATATATATATATATATATATATATATATATATATATATATATATATTTTAAGATCATAAGAGAATTGGTGAGCAAGATCTTAATATAGGAACTTAACAAAAATTGAATTTAAAAAACTCCACTTTTTAAGATTTTAATCTTACTTTTTTGTTTGCTTCTAACAAATTACTCTTTAAAGAAAGTTGTGAGAGGAGATTTGGACAAACGTATATTTGCATGAATTTGCACTAATTTATGTATGGATCGTAAGTATTGAAAAATCCTCACATTTTAGCGAAAAAATGTTTGGATTTGTAAAAAAAGTGGGGTAAATTGTCTAAAAAGACTTTTGTACAAAGAGGCTGATCTGAGTGAAAATACAAAGATTCCTTCACATAAATAAAGTGTCAGCTACCACTTCCAGTATATTGTACCTCAATCCAGTGATTCAGAGCTACCCATGATCAGCCTTTTGCAGAGATGATTGGTCCTCTATCCCCTATTCATTGGTCATGCAGGGAGGATTGTTGGAGATGCAACTATTATAACATTCACCTCCTTCGTTAGCCTGTATAAATGTCACCCTCACCAACGACACTACATTACACGCTTTATTTTTCTCTCTCACAGTATCTTCCATTCCCAGCATTGTCAATAATTTTTTTGAAGCTCAAAGGTGACTGAAAGTAAGAAAGCATGTGTTCCATCCAGTTGTATATACCCTTTCCGTTACAAATCATGTGAGTTATTTTTCCTTTAATCAATGATTCCATTATTGATTGTTATGGCTGATTATGTTTCCTGGTGTTGTTGAATTGTATAATTGTAGTTAGGCTATTTATATTAATGTTAGAAATGTTGCATAATAGTGGATTATATCACATTGTTTCAATGATTAATGACATCTTGCATAGAAATGTTGCATAATAGTTGATTAGTTCATGCTATTAGAAACATTGTTGTTACAATTTTTTATGAAATGTTGCATAGAATATTGAAAAAATAGTGCATTATATCATGTTTTTGGATGTATTAGTGTTAAAATTGTTGATAAAGAGTTGCATAGTAATAAAAGATGACCCTACAAGAGGTCATATTCAATTATATCATGCTATATAATCGAAAATGCACGAAGTCATAATCGATTATGCAGCAATGCATAATCGAATATGGCTAAGACATATTCGATTATGAGGTCATCCATAATTAATTATTGAGACTTGCATACTTGAATGTGGTCTCTCAACTCCTCCCATTCCTTGTTATCATTAATGGACTTTGATATCTTTCTTCATCATGTATGAAGAAAAAGGCCGTGTGTTATTTCCTTCTTCGTTAGAATACGCATGTGGCATTACCTTATGTGGTTATATAAGATGTGAGTTGTCATGATGAACTTCCACGGTGATGGTCACACGTGAACTGTGTATCATGGTAGCACAGTTATTTATATTGGGGTGTCATCCAAGAGTTGCAAGTCGTGCATGGATTGAGGTGTTCCATGCAAGGTGAGCATATAACTAGACAAATGAGGAGTTCTGAGGTGTGGATGATTCAGATGAGGAAGAAAATGAGGAGTTGTTGGCGCTCCTTTGTATAAAAGATGGAATAATGAGCCTGCAAATTTATCAATTTTAATGAAACTTGTTAAATTTGGTGGAGACTGAAAAAATGAGTGATTGAAACGAATAGATCTTATCTTTCTTTAAGAACTTAATATTTTTAAAATTTAGTTTAAAAAATATTTTCAAATTTGATGTACTATTAAATAACTTGATTTGTTAATTTTTTTCCATTTCATGATTACAATTTTTTTTTAATGATGGGACTATGTGATTAGGACATGCATAATTGAATATAATTAAACAAAATTAATTTAAGTTTTTTTTGAGAGTATATGGATTTAGAAAAAGAATAATTTTGTACTAGTGTGTTGGGGATAGGTATGAATACTACAACAAAAATGGGCAGGTAGAAATCCGTCGAAAATGACAGTTTACTGATGGATTATCGATGGTTAGAATTTGTCGATCAAATCTATTGGTAAATATTATTGACAGATTTTATATGTTTGTCGATAATTATCGAGAGATACGTTAGTTGAAAATTACTGACGATTATTTCTATCGAACAAATAAAATTAAGTAAATGAGATAATTTTTGACAAATATATTCGTCTGTAAGGGATGACATGTTTATTATTGTGTGACTTACCGATGAACAAATTCGTCAGTAAATTTTGTCCACATCCCAAAACAGGGCTATTTATATATCTGGTCATATATTCAATCATACCAACAATCAATAAAAAATGCAGATATCCAATTGAATGACAACTCAATATAATCTAATTAATAGGAATGTATGATATTATATGTATAACACATAAAAGTGTGTTAAATAAGTCAAATATATTAAATAAAATATAATAATTATTCCAAATGAAACTATTACTATCTAATAGTTAACATAATCTAGAGAATGTTGTTATTAGGGGTTATCTTGTTGTGGTGAAATGTCTTGTTGTTCATCATCATTTTATTGTTTTTATGAACCTTCTTGTTGAGTTTGTTATTGTTGTTGCTGAAAAAGGGTTTGTGCATCAGGAGATAGGAATCGCATTACGGTCCCCATAAAAGATTAGAACATGCGACTCAATTACTCGTTGTTCTCCTTTATACGACAAATCTCTTTCTCACTTGCAGAAAGTCATTATTTGAGTTAGTTCATCTCTTGTAAGTCATATAAAGAGTTGAATGCTTTGGATTGATGCTTTAAACTATTACTCCCGCCTCGATAACCACAACTAAGCTCTCCAATCTCATATAGTCTTCCTTTATTTTTGCCACCAACCGTGTCAACCCAACCTCGAGATCTAATAATGTCATGTTGAGTAGGGTCTAGAGAATTACACTTTGATTCCCCAACACAAGATCCAACTGACAACCTAGTTTGTGATAATCTACTTTCAAATTCCTCCTGTAATTAAAATGAAAATATTATTAAACAATATATTTCTAAATAAATAAAGTTACTTATAGAGGGACTCACATATGTCTTCCTAGATTATTTATCAACAAATTGACCAATAGTTTTTCTTATATGAGTTTGCTGAAAGATCTCATCAACAAAAACAAATTGACAAAATTCCTTTGCCTAAGACACATGTTAATATAATAAATAAACAACTTTATTTAACTTGTAAAAAAATAAAATAAAGTGATGGTTCATGTGAATACCATATGCATGACATTTTCATGTGTGCTAATGGAGTCACATGTCTGCAGACTCTCACCCTTTTTCATCTATAAGAGTAAAAATTACATCTACAACAAAATTGGAAAGAGTAGTTATACAATTTAAAAGTACAATTTATGTTTTACTTTAAAACGTTGGAAAGTAGTTCTCCTTATCAGTTTTAGGTATGACTCCCCATGTAGTCCATAACTCAATAAATTATTGCTTAATACACTTTCTGATAACCTGTGACGCTATTCTAGATGGTACAAACCTAATTATACATAAACAACTCATACCACATTATTCGAAGCGAAATATACGTTGCAAGTGAGTTATAACATAAAAATTTTTATTCAAATTGTAATTAAATACTACCCTCGTCCATAAGACTCAATCATTGGATGATCATCTAAAGAATAATTATCTTCTCCTACTTCGGAATCAACATCAATAGTAAATTGTGATTGTGTTACTACAACATCTGGGGATAAGAGTGTTATGGTGAGTGACCATGAGAGGGAGATGGTCCAGGTCCCACAATAGCAGTAGGTGGTGTGGGTATCACATGTGGGGATGGTATAGGTTCCACTATAGTTGGGGATGAGAAATGGGTGGGTGCTATAGTAGATGTGGAGAGGGATGATTTGGGTGTCGGTACTATAGTGGATGACACTATGGATGGTATGGGTTTAACAAACATAGATGGTAAAGGGGATGGTCTAGATCCTACTACTCAGGATGGTGATGGTATTATGTGTGTTATCAGAGTAAGTTTTAATGGGACAGATGAGGATGGTATGTCTGTAGGCACCACTTTAAGCACATAATGAACCTTCATTCTCTTTGCTATTCCCTTCCCTTTATTCCTACCATAGGGTAGGGATCGAGGGGATTAGATTCTCCTGTGGACATATCTTTATATAGGAAAATAATGGGTTAATCAAGCATTTAACGATTCATAGTATAACATAAAGCATAAATACATAATATGCCAAAAATAAAGCAAACAACAATCTATATTAATCTCTTAAAGTTGAACCTATAGTAGGAAATTTGAAATATGCAATTTAGGAACGTGTTTAGGACTACACTTATATATATGCAAGTTTTTATGCAGACTCTTATGCAATTTAGGATTGTGTTTAGTGAAGTAAGTATTTCATCTCTGTCATTTCATATATATGCAGGTTTTTATGCAAAAGAAACTTTTGAATTGTCACCACATGTCATACAATGTTTTCCCTTTACGATTCTTGGTCAATAAAAGCATATACAAGGGTTAAAACCTTATATCAGAATGTTCTCCCTTTGCTATTTAGTAATAAAAACAATTGGGCCATCAAGTCATCTTAGTGATGTTACTAATGAAGATGCTTCAGATCCAACTATTGAATAGGATGATTTTTAATACAATGTCAGTGGCATTTGGTAATGATTTCCTTGAAGAATCAACATTACACAGGCTTTAGGATATTATATTAAAGGTATGGTTGTGTTAGTACTTGCTAATAATATACACTATATAATTGTTTCCTTAAATACTAATTTGGACATGGTTACAATGCTTATAGTAAGACAACCAAATAAGACTCTGTATCAAAGATAGTATGTTCCGGTTGGCACAAGTACAATGCAAAGACATTATATTAGTGATACTAACAGTACAAACAAAAGTAGCAGCATAGAACTTGAAGTTACAATGAGAGAATAAAGCAATAGCCAAAATAAATCTATATTAATCATAAAAAGAAAGCAATTCATCTTATTTGGAAATGAAAAACTTTTGCTAACAACAAATTGTTCAAGTTAACAACAAGCAAAGATGCAAGAATTACATGTCATTTTCTTATTAAATAATATATCAGCATCTATGAAAATGTGTTTTTGTGCATCCAAATACAATAAGGAGTCTTTTTCCAACTAAGAAATAAAATAATACACTAGTTGGAAGCTAAAAGTCAATGATGGGAAATAATCAGGTTCTTATTCTTCTTCATATTTGGTTCATTTAGAGTGATGTTGTGATATTATTTTGCATGGAACTCGATGCCTTCATGAAATTGTGTCATCAATTAAGAATAATTAACGTTGTCAAAAATGAGTTTAGGTCAACAATTAAAGAACAAGTTGCCAAATTTTTACATATTTTAGGCCATAATTTTAAAAATAGAACCATGTCATTTTTCTTTCATCGATCCAATGAGAAAGTGAATCAACATTTTCATAACATGTTGAATGCGATAATTGAATTAGAAGAATAATTTTTTGTTTAACTATCAGGAACAAATGTGCAAGCACACATCTATAATAATCCCATATTTTATCCCTATTTTAAGGATTGTCTTGATGCAATTGATGGAATATATGTTCGCGTCAAAATACCACGATCGGAAGCCCATCGTTTTTGTG